GCGAGGCGCACCGACCACCGGGGACCTCTTCGAGTTCCCATTTCCTGGATGGTCCTCCTCGAAATGGAGCCACTCGACCAGAGCGCACTGGCGGGGACCGTTGCGAGTAGTTTGAAAGAAACCAGACTCGAATACGACGAACGGGGAGGGAGAAATTTGAAAAACTCGAGGCCCCGAGGAGCGGCCGCCTCGGGCTCGCCTTCCAGCCACTCGTCGCCATCCCCGCCGACTCTCGCGACCGCGAGGCGCTGCACCCTCCAGGACTCATCTCTCCTCGGGACTTTCAGAATGTTCCTCCTAGTTTCGAGCTCTCGAAATCAGAAATTAGTCCCAGTGGGTTATCACGAAATCTTCGGAGAGTCGTTTGGAATAATTCCAGTGAAGTGTTCGGGGCCCGAGGTACCCGGAATTTCGAAAATGGAACTCCAAAGTCGGGGCGAATCTTTTTGGAATATCTTCACCAGGGCGACCTTCGGGGATGGTCCGAGGAGCCTGAAATGGAAAACGTGATGAAAGGGCCCGGAGTAGTTGCTATGAATTTCGAAAAGGAGATTCTCGTTAGACGATGAGATCTTTGGAGGGCTCGGCGCCTCCATCTTGCATCCCTCATGCCGTCGGGACCAATCAGCAGCCTCTCCCTGAAAGAATGAGAGCAATGAAGGGACACTGATGAAAGAAGACATATCGCCACCCTCGTTGAAGGAAAAAAAAAAGAAGAAGAAAAAAAATAATACACCGACTCGCAGACACCCTCGCGCGAGCAGGGCGACACTGAACATTCGCGAACATAGAAACACACACCGTGCGTCGCTAAACGGAACGGCTCGACCTTTTTCTAGACGGATAACGCGTTACTCGTGCCCCGTCTCGCGGGTTTTCACATTTATTTCCCCCTTTGAAACTTTCGAGGAGTTTCCAGGTCGGGTTATCGAAAAAAGCCATGTCCCATGTCTCCATTGTCCGTAGAATTTCGACATTCCGCGAAATCGGCATATCAGGCGGCACTGCGCCCCGGGAATGATTACAGGGATTAAGGCGTATCTTTAGGATCTAGAAAATCAACAGAGGAGATTCTTCATTGTTAAACTCTCGCGATTTCGACCGTTGGGTATCGAGATTTGCAGATTTCGTCTCAATGAGGGGGAGGTTAAATACGATTTGGAGGTTAGGTTCCGTTCTTGGGAGGATCGCGCCTTCGGGTTGTACTACTTTTGATCTTTTCCTTCTCGAAAGTTCTTTGTTTGGGAGAGTTTGTACACGATTTGGAGGTTAGGTTCCTCGTATCTTCGGTTTATATGCCCCGGAGAATTGGGGAGAGATTTTTACATGTTTTATGGAAGATCGTTTATCGGTGAATCCCTGGCGGGAGGGCTTGCGGGGAAACGGTGAAAGTGTACAAAATGCCGGTCTATTCTCGTCGGCCAGTGAAAGAAGTTACATATCTTTCCGCAGATACGCGACCTTGGGGCGCACGCGCTGCCCGAGTATTTCGGTGCCGTGATTCCCCGTGTTAAATTCCGAAATTGAGCGCTCACTTCTTCGGAGCCCCCCCTCGTAAACGTCCGAAATACGCGATTTATTTGCCGAGAACTCGCGAAGGCGCGCCCTGGTCATAGAAAATGGCGATCTATTTTCGCCGGCCAATAGGAGGACGGCTACATATCCTTTCACACGCGTGATCTTGGCGCGCACGCTACCCTGGAATTACTCAGGAAGCGAGTTCTATTCTTCGGCGGTGCTCCGGAAAGAAAAATGGCGGCGCTCGGATATAATCGCTATACGGTCAATACGGTGGAATCGATAGAAGGCGGGAGTCACGCGTGACTCACGCGTGCATATGCGCCCCGAGATAAAGTCCTGCACCCCAGTGATAAACCTACCACGAAAGGGTTAACCACAGTTGAGTCACGAAACAGCGGCTCCGATAATCTGTTCCGACCGATCGACGCCGATTCCTTTCTTTTTTTTTCCCTTCCTCCTTCGCGTTTTTCCCATACATACTTTCCTCCTCGATAATAATTCCGTGCTGAGAATTTCTTCTTACCGACTAGTCCAGATTTCGCGGCTTCTAATTGGTTCGTGACTTGACTCCTAACGAACCAATGGATCGTCACTCTGTATGTGTTCTATGGCGGTACTAGACGTACGAACAGACCCGTTCCGTATTGGATACAGCGGAGAAGATAGATGAGGTCTCGTTAGGGCGGAAATGGCTCCGCAAGTGTTCTATCAGAGCGAGGTTCTATTCCCGATTTAGGTCCATTTCGAGACGAACGACTGCTGAACGATTGTTATAAATATTCTAAAGTGTCTATCACGAACTCGCCTAAGTCTTGTACACCTATTTTGCGCTCCTCGAATCCGTAGCGGTCCTAATTTCGGAGTAGAACCGCTGATTAACATATCACGTCCAGGAAGCGTTTCCACGGCCCTGAGTGCGCCCTCTCGTGTCTTCTCCTAATGTATGGAGTAGGTCCCATTAATGCGGTTCGATTTCCATTTCCGGTATACCGGTGGAACGGTTCCATACCTTGTTTCCTGCATTTTAATCGACACCAACCCCGCGGTACCGCGGAACTGTCCATTGTGAACCGGATCAATTAGGGCATTTCGTGTTATTCCGAAATTGCATTAGGCGAGCTTTCTGCGCGCGGAATTCGAAATGAACGAGATCGCCCTATATTACTAGTTGCAGCACTTATAGCACTGGAATCGGAAAAACGGAACAGTTGGAGTTCCGCTGGACTGGGAGTCCCTCCCGGGGTATTTCCCCTAGATCCAGACAATATCCCTAGCCCGCTCGACCAATCACGGCCTCCCCACATCCGGCAACAGTGGAGGCGCAGTCTAAACGCGCGAAACCATATCCGTGTCGCGAAAATCGCACAAACCGACGACCCGAACGACTCGCATGCACCGAAATGGAGCGCGGCCATTACCGTACGCGTTAACCGCGAAAGAGGTTAAGTGCGAGACGCAGTACACCAGTTTACACGAAAACAGACAAACCCCATTTACAAATACGCGCGAATCGACCACCATCCACTCCTTTTACAAGTCTTTAACCTTTTAACTCGGTAGATAGATGACTTTCTTACGGCGTGGGCCATTCGAAGGCTCTCATTGCTCGGCGCTCGGCCAATCGGCGAGCGCGCGGGCCAAAGTTATTTATTAATTAAAACTAATCGAACGCTCATCGGGACGTCATCCTCATCGTAGTTCGCTCTCATCTCGCCGTCATCTCGACGTCCTTGTTCGAACCGGCGCCATCTTGTCTAAGCTTTGCAGCGTTGCCGAGTGGGCAACTAGTTCCTTCGTGTCGCTGCGGTGCCACGCAATTGGCTCGTTCCGTTGGAACGGTCCAACGGGAACGAACTAATTGCAGGTGTGAGTTTCGAAACTGGAAATGTTGTCCAGGAGGTTTTTTAACGAAAGTGGTGAGCCGGGGAGGGGAGGACATTCGGGAGTAGGGGAAACGCGGAGACATGGGGATCTTTCGAGGGGCCAATGGCGTCACTCAATAGTACAAGGAGTCTAGGGAATTTCCGTTAGGGACACGTTGGCGCAGCGTTGCCAATTTAGGCGTATATGCATATATATACATACATATATTGTTTCTATACGGGAGGAAGTCTCGCGAGACTTTCGGCGGTTCTTCGACGAATTTAACGTATATTTTTGACATTTCGGAAACGCTAGTGAGACCAGTTCACTAGGGATTTTTAACGACTTAGACGAACTTCTTTTTCACTACCGTTACTGGTGGAAAAAGGCGGTCGATTCGACGGATACGCTCTCTCGGTTACGTGAGATGTGAATTAAACATTCTTTTGGCGTATATTCTCATTCTTCACTTTTTCTAAACGAAGATGGTATCGGCTCATCGAACCAATGGAATATTTTGAGAAGTAGAATGTAATATGCCGTATGATTACGTTCCTGGAGTCATTAGCAGACGTAATGCGAAGCTCGTTTACTTTCCAGTAAGGCTCGTTTTCCTATGAACTTGACACGGGAATATGAGCCTTATCGAGACGCGGCTACCTCGGAAAATCTCGCCAACGACATACGTTTCCTCAGCTCTTCTAATTAACCCAGACATTAATCAGCGAGTCCTGGAGAAGCATAAATGGCTAATAAGCTAAACGAACCCGGGTTGAATCCACCGCTTTTCCGTGGTAAAAAGGGAAGAAGAAAATTCACTACAATTAAGAGCCGATTTAGCCATTTCTGGGGCGGTTCATCCCCGAAATAAGCTTATTCTGCGCTAAGGCTCAGATTCCTTTGCCATAGCTCCACAAATATGAGCTTTAGTGGAGAATGGGCCAGGCAGCTTTGGGAATCCCCCTCGAAAGTATATGCGCTTTATAACGTTACTACGTGATATTAAAAACAAAGTTAACTCGCTCTGGGTGAACCTTCCCCGGAAATAGCCGAATCGGCTTCGGGGACGTGTTATAGCCTAGCGAAGAAAAAATCGTAGAAAGTCGTAGTCACGATACTAGGAAATAATGTATAGAAATATTTCGAGTATTAATTTTTTAATAAAGAACGGCGAGTCGCGTTTCTCGATCCTTTCTCCAATTCTCTCTCTCTGTCTCTCTCTGTCTCTCTCGAGTGTACAGTTGAACCTCGCTAAAGGCCACTCGATCGATCGTCGTGAGTAGGAGGAAAAGCTATACAAAGAGAGCAACAACAACGCGAATGAAATTCTATATAAATATATATATATAAATATATAAATAAAAATAAATATATATATATTGTACTGCGAGCTGCGCGATGCGTTCACGATGAACTAGCTGGTTTGTAAATAAACAATTTGACTCTTTGAGTCGGCGGCCTTTGGTGCTTTCTCGACATCCTACGTGATTTTCTTTACTTGAAATACATACGTCTGTATATACATATATATTTTAATATACATATATAATCCGGTTCTCCCTACTTGGCGGGTCATATTCTGCCGAATGTCATTAATCGATCGTTTTTCCAGAATCCTAGGCCATGCAGGGCTGCTGCTCGTACATCAGGCACATCCCGAGGTAGTCTTCCGGGGAACTCCCAGCTTCCTCTCCTGGACCAAAGGCTACTCTAATGCGGAAAGGAGTGGCCGAAGTTTCCACCCGACAGTTCCCGCTCTCCTCGAGCTCATTTCTCGGGCAAAGGGAAGTTCCGCAGTGCTCCATGTCGCAGATCCCAGCTCCGTTATTCCCCGGCTAAGGCCAATAAAACTTGCTCATTTTCCCCGGCCACTTTACGGAGTTTCGTAAAAGGTCTCCCGGGATTAAGGCGATGTGAAAGGCGCCGGGAAATTTAATCGACGCAGGGGAAAAAAGAATTCTACCCAACGCACAACCTGAAACAATCTCCGGCCTCCACCCTTTCCTGTGGAACGCCATTTTGGAAATGTTGGGTCTAAGAGTTTTTACATAGTACGCGTACTTTTTTTTTTTTTTTACAAATTGTTATACCCAGGTCTTGAAAGACTTCGATTTCGGATCTAAGCTCTTTCAAGAGGCGTATCATAAAGATACGTATTGACGACGGCATTTTGGTTCCAGTCTAGGATAAGCAGTGAACGTATTTTTTAACACGTAAAAGTTTCACGGCTGGCAGTCTCGACATTTACGTGGCGAAGTTTTAAATGATTCGGTGCGCCCTAGGAAAGTTGTATAAATTAGTTGACGCCCCTGGGGGAACTTTCACATAGCCTTAAGGGAAATATTTTCCGGATATTTGGGGGATGTACCGTGATGAACTCCTCAAAGTCGCAGGGTATCAGCACCCTGTCCCTGCACCGACTCCCAGAATTCTGTCCCGACTCCATTGGTCCAGTTCCTGATCCCTCGACCTCCATGGAATCGCTCCCTGAAGAGCCCATATTTCTGGAGGGCCCTATCCTGAAGGAATTGGGCGTACATGGGGCGTACGAGATGCTGCACATTCCCTGCTCCTGGCGGACGCAGATTAGGTGGTCCTGGCCTGCGAGATATCTGCCATTCGGTAGATAATTCAAGGTCCTGATGGTTCCTCGGGGCATCTCGAAATACTGCAGGCAACCTGCGGGGGCTCTTTGCTCAAACGGAAGCTGCACGATGCTCATCTCCCACATCCTCGACTGCAAAGTGCTCGGCAGCCGGAAGTCCAAGATGGTCTCCCCCTCCGCAATGTCCATGTAAACTGCAAAATAGCAACATTTATTCGGACCTTTTTTCTAACACTTTCACGCGGAAGGAAAAGAACCTGTCTAAAGGAAGTATCAGTAAAAGGGTACATTTTGCAGAGCCCTGCGGGAGATCCAATACCGACCATGCTGTCCGCTGTTCCATCCGCAGAGCTGGAAGCTGTTGTTTCCGTTTCTTATTTCCATAACATCCTCTGCACACACCCCCGTTCTTCGATCAGGTTGACCCTAAAGTAGAGGAGTAACGATACGTTAGAGCTTTTCTTCTACCCACTCTCCCCCGGCAACAATTAATCCGAATAATAATTTCATATTGTTTTGTGCAGTACTGACGATATTGAAGTGGACGAAGTCGAGCCTGAGTTGGCTGACTGGCTGCTCGATGCCTCTGATGATCACCGAACAGTTCATCGGCCTTTCGATCAGATCAGGAAATCCAGGACTGATGACGTAGGTCAGGTTGTTGATCACCTCGCCTCCGCAACTTGTCGTGACTTCGTGATTCACGTTTCGGAAAAGATAAACGAGATTCACCATCGAGGTGCATTTACGTCCAAGATGTACAGGATGAGTTTAGAATTTACTTTTAATTTCTTTTAACCAGGTTTTAATATTCCCAGTATTTAATTCAGATATCCAGTGGATTTCATATTCCATATAGATTGCGACACTCCGAGTTATCGCTTCCTCTTATAACATTTCCTCTGATTCCAGATGACTTCCTCAATCGGTAATACATCGAGCCGAAGACAGATAAGTTTTACGCCAAGAGACGTACGATTTTCTGACTTATCCATGAGCTTCCTTGGAGCCAACCACGGGAAAAGAGCCGCTAAAGCTCGGTCCCCTTTAAGGACTCGGTCGAAGGGTGGAAGCTGCGAGAGAGGGTGAGTTTCGAGAGGGTAGCTTCGGGGAGGAAAAGGAGAGAAAGAGAGAGAGAGAGAGCGGAAGAGAGAGGGAGAGGAGAGGCTTGTGAATTTTTCACGGAAGCGAGTTGTGTTTCGCGTGCGAGAAGCACGGGCAAACATTCCGCAAGCTCGCCGTTCTGGCTTGAATAGAAGCTGGAACCGAGAGGAGCCTGAATGCCTGAATGGGAACTCGTTATCAGGACTTGAATTCTGAACTGAACCGTGGAAAAGCTCCCCTCCCCTCTCCTGATCGCTTTCGGAGTCAATTACATCCCTGCTTCTGTTCCAGATGGACCCACGGGTCTCCTTCGGTCCCCGAAGAGCAAGAGCAACCCTTAGAACCCGGAAAATCTCGAGTTCGGGGCCGAACCCGAACTCGAGTTCTAGGTAAGACGAAAGAGACTGAGAAACTGCGCAGGAAAGCTCTTTGAGATAATTTCAGGCGACTCATAGTTTCCGAGATATTTGATGGCGAAGTTGACCAATTACGGAGCGGCTCTGGTGACAGGAGGAGGAAGCTACGCGTAAACCTCTCCTGATTGCTTTCGGAGTCAATTACTTCCCTGACTCTGTTCCAGATGGATTCACGTGTCTTCCCGGCCTCCTGGGAGTAGTTGCTGAATCGGAGAATCGAGCACATCGCGAGTTCGTCAGACATCAGCACAAGTTTCGTACGAAACGAAGGGGACCGGAGAATCGAGAGGAAAGCTCTTTGGAGCAAATTTGGGGAACTCATACTTTCCGGGTTATTTAATGGCGAAGTTGACCAATTACTGTGCGGCTCTGCCGGAAAGAAAGGACGGCTAAGCGTAACCCTCACCTGATTGCTTTCGGATTCAATTACATTCCGGCCTCTATTCTAGATGGAACCCGTGTCTTCACTTGTCCCTAGAGAGGCGTTTCGACCCTGAGATCCCAGAATGTCTTCAATTTACTGCCGGACGCGAGCAGAAATTGTATCAGAAATGTAAAACTAAATAAAACAGCCTTTCTGCAAAATTGTACCACTATTAGAAAAAGCACCAGAATATCTTGCGTTTAATATTTAATTATATTTTTCATAATTAAAATAATTTAGTTCTCTTTATTTGAACGCTATTGGATTAAAATTCCTTTTGGGATCGAATTTCATTTTTCTTAGGTGAAATCGAAGGTAAAACTTGTTTTGGAACATCAAGGGACCAATGATTTTCAGCGACGAAGGTGATCAATCTCATAGCGTCAACGGTTGTTAGGGTTCTAGCGTCCTTAGCAACCGTTGCTGCGGTATTGGCGTCCATAGCAACCGCAGTCATACCGTACTTGGAAATTTCTTCGGCCTTACGGGAAAGTTTAAGCCCTTGTAACTTTTTTCTAGGAGATGATACTTTGCCGGAAAGCGAATAAAACTCGGAAGCAACTCTTCCCGTGTAAGCACGATGAGAAAATAAAATTTGGTGCTGCATTGAGAGGGATGAAAAGCTTTTACAGATACGTGATTACACGGCAGAACGGCTGAAAGCTCTTAGCTGATCAAGGAGCCCTATCTACTTATTGCTTCTCGCTCTATTTGATATAATTTGAACATTCGGAAACGAGGGAGCAAGGCAGATTTGTTGGTACGGGGATATGTAGAGGCTCGGAAAGCATTTGCAAACTTGCTATGACTGGTTGTACTTATTACAGCTCTCCTCGGAGCCGAAAGTCAATTAAATAACTGTACTCGGTTGGGCGAGTTATTCCAGTCGGCATCGCAGCGACCTGCTTGTTTGTCGGCTCTCCAAGTCCACGTTAAAATCAATTTACTTAATGGAATTTTTCATCTCATTCCTTCACAAAGATTCGAAATCCTCTCCTCGCCTCGATTTGTTTGAACCTGATTACTGCAGTTCTTACATTTCGTTACCCTCGTACCTTTCGGTTCCTCGGCTCTATTCTCAACAGTATTATCAAATTTCATTATTTACAATTTGATCCATTACGAAATCCCTGGAAGGCATTTAAGTTGGGACAATGCTATCGTTAATTCTTTGTTAAACGAAGTTCCTTTATACTCACAGATGCAGCACACTCCAAATCCAAGCGCACATGACCCATGAGACTTCCCTTGTTGAATTCTGCACTCGTACGTGTTCATGCATAATCCCCTTCGCCTTTTGTCTTCAGAAAGGCATTCCTCTTCGACGGGCACGGGAAAAAAATTCAAAACTACGAACGTTCGTCGAGAGAATTAAGAAGGAAACACGGAGGGGCGTTCGCAAGGAGCATTTCTTCAAATCCATACCGCGAAAAGCGTTAGAAAATACTCGCAAATGAATTTTGATTTCAGTTAGATCATTTTCTCATAAACTTTAACCATCTCTAGTACAAAATCGCTGAAAGTAGATAAATGCGTCGCGGCCCCCGAAAGCGAGGTGACAATTCCTTTTAGCCGATTTTTCGTCACGCTGAGTGGTCGATAAATTGCCTACACTTCGTTTTCTATTTTTTATCGAAATACTAAATGGACCCACGTGGTCCACAGGAGGTAAATGTATCCAAGCATGTTCCCCAGAGTGAAGTGACCCGAGCCGGCATTTTCCGAGCAAGCTCTTCGGTAATTCGTTTAACGGGAAGTGCAATTAAATTTTTGCATCGAGCACCAGTTCTGCCCCCTCGTCCCATCTTGGGTCTCCTATAATTTGGATTTACGGCAGGGTCGATCCTGAATAATTCAAGGTGGCGTACTAGGCCACTGCAATCGCATCCATTAGGAATTAAAAGCTGCCGGAAGTCGGGGAAAGAGTCCGATGATATCAGCAGGTGGATTCGGAACCAACGCAATGAGAGCTACGAGACGGGAAACATACCCTGCGGAAATTCATTAACCGCATTTCCCCACAGGGGCGAAATTAATTCCAAATAAAATAACAACCAGGCGGAACACTCATCTATCGCAATTGACGTTATCTCCAGGAACAATAAAATCAATAAGCACCCAATCATAATTGCCGGACATTTTTCTATTCTTCTGGAGCTGTTCTCCAATTGTCCCATTCCTTTCCCATCAATTCACTTGGTGCCACACTTGGTCGGATTAGCAATCGATTAAGAATCAATTGGTCCATTTTTTCCCAGTTGGTCATCCACTGCCAATTGCGTGTCCGATTTTGAAATCGATTTTCGGAATTAGCGGAAAACGCATCCGATTGCTGATACTCCGCATCAAAAGGTAGATCAGGGATCGGGTTAGGCGACTGGTGCCGATGCCTGGATATTAATCCATTGATACCTGAGTAAAATTAACGCGAGCGGAGATTAGTTGGTGCAATTGGATCAGAGAGCTCACCTCTTCCATCTCGACTGGTATTCCCAAACTCGGAGTGGTCCAGGAGGTTCCCAGCAGGTCCTCGGGACCAGAAACTTAATCCTGGCCATCCTAAGGTAAAGACCACCGGTGTCAGCAGATATAACAGGTAACTCCTTGGAGTCATGGTCGAGGGGGTACTGCGCCGAGGTTGGACGATGGTTTCTTCTTTTCCAGGGACTACTCCATGGTTCAAGGTCCGAGGGGGACCAAGACTGGATCAGGCCCCTTCTCCTGGGCACCATTCTATCATAAAATCTCCCAGATGCCGGGATCCAGAATCAAAAGACTCTTTCTCTTCCTATTTTGATGGAGACTTCATTCTGCATTAAACCTGACATCATCGATTTATTCTGGATCATCCCTGGATCATGGATCAGGAGTTCCAGCCTCTCCTAATCTTTGAAAATAATAGATTCACTGTTACATCTGAATATTATTTTATTTATTTTTACTTCGATACGTCTCTTATTTAATAAATTAATATTGAAATATAGTTAAGGTCTTACGATATTCTTTGGTAAGATTTCTAGGGTCGGGTTTAAGTATGTAACCAGTGGTACTGGATATATGCACGTACGAATTGGATTTGTATGAATTGAAGGTTTGGAGCGGGAATTTCTTGTCGAAGAGCGACAAAAAGGTACCAGCTATTCCGGACCCGTTAGGTGCATCTGCTGAATGTCTGCTTCCGGGAACTTCAATGCGTCGATTCTAAATTGTGATTTGAAAATGGACTATTCTTGGATAAATCGTATTAGAAGTGTTTCTTTTTTTTTTTTCGAACTGTCCTTATAAAGGCAAGATCTTGGTCACGTCGACCTCTGGAGGAATGCGTAATGGCCGGATTATGGGTAACGGTACCTGCTGAGTCTCCACAAGTCGTAGGAGTTGCGTGAATTTCCGTGGATACGAGTCTGGTTTTGTTCTTTTTAGTGTATGTAAATATCCGTTCTGCTATTTGAACGATGGAAGAGATAAAAATTCGTCGAAACACGGCATTGGATCGTCCAAAGTAAAGCTATAAATAGTACTCGATTTTCGAGTGATCATTGTCACGAGTTTCTTCTCCAGAGTGCACAGAAGAATAAAATGATAAATATGAAATATCAGATTAGTAGATTAACGTGGTCTAATTTTTATTCTTTAATAAGCTGGATACTTTTTATGAATCGGTTTTGTAATTTCTTGTAATTTGAATATGGCGCGCATGTGGGCGATCGCGGCACTAGTGATTGGTAGGTATTGCCAGGATGCAAATGGTGATCACCTTCCATGTGCACTTGTATGTTCGTGGTGAAACATTGAATTATTATAATTTCCGATTCCGGCCAATCGCGGCTGCAATGGATCACTGACGGAGTGATTTTTCTGGGGAATCTTGAAAACATTTGAAGATTAATAGCGAAAACTGGGAGCCGGTGCTCGCGCCGTCGCCACGGATATAGAGAGCTTCCGTCCCGGTTGCTAGGTAAGTGGTCATCGTTCATAACCTCTTTTTCGCTTTAGTATTAGGAGGCAGCTTGTGAAAAAGAAGTCGGATTTAGGTACGAATCTTTGGTGAAAGTATGCGATGCGGTTCCAGGACGTTCATGCTTTCAGGGCGCAACATTCGATGCTGGGTTGAACTGTGAGAATATAACCTAATAGAGACTATCCAATGCCTGTCGGCGTGTTTCTGTACTCTGGAATTCTAAGTCTTACTTTCTCACTCTGTATACTATGTGACATTTTACAGTACTCTGCGATACACAACACTCGGACACTTTACGGTGTACTTTACGATGTATTACGTTATAATGCATACATTCATGTGATGTATTCTCGATAAACTACTGTTTACGAGTAACCAAAATTGTTACGCACACATTATAAATATTTACACGGCCAGGAACCAGTGGCATTTATCAGGGGTAATCTTACCTCGATTGTTTTGATTCCATCTATATACTTTAGATATCCTACCTTATTGTAGGTTATTCTAAATTCGTCGATACTGTTATAGATTTCACAAGACTAATCGTGCAACCGAGTATGTGCAAGATATAATTCTCTGCTTTCTTGGTTAGCCTCGAGTAATCCCGAGTAAAATTTCACTAGTGTTTCAAAGTTTCAAGTCACAACACATTCTGGAAGATCGTCGAGTTTCTAAGTTTTTGTGATTTTGGTGTGTGTCCTTTTATTTGGTTTGAATTTCATTTATCGTGGTAAGTAATTAACTGTGGATGCCGTTACTTTAGTAGCTACGAAGGCTAAATGCTCTGTAGCTCTTTTTTACAAGTTTGGGCGTAGATTGCTGTCAAGCTTTGCGACAATCTCAGATTCTCGTGCCTGCAAGGGATATTGTATGTTAACCTAAATTAAACCAGTTGTATATTGAAAATAATATTTGATCCTTGTCATGCTTCTGAGAGCACGGTTGGAACGATGCTCTGCAAGCTCATTAAAATGTTTATCGAAATGATTGCTCCTTTGGAAGTAAGTAAATAAGTGATATTATTTTTCCCGCACATGAATAATTCGAAGCACAAAATTTCACTTATGTTTAGTTAGAAGCAAGTCCAGTTTGCACGTCTAATCGATTTTACTTCCAAGAAGTCTGTACTCGACTACTATTGTTACGTATGAATACATGTAATTACATAATTCTATTACGTTCTTTAGAGATTATATTGTTCTGAACAGAAAGAAAATCTGGTAAGTAGATGGCAAATTGTGGTTTAATTGTACTGTGAGCTCATGCTCACTGAAGGTAGATACAAAAGGGGGATACAGCTATACGAAAGTAAGGGAGTTACAACCTGAGTTATTGTCTCGTCTGATAATATCTCGCTGCTTTCAGGCAGGGTATGGGAGAACGTTCTCTGAAGAATAGAGGGACGAAAACCATGCAGAACTTTGACGATCTCGACATCGAGGGACGCAATCCCTCTCGTATATCCGAAGAGGAACGGGAAAAGGTAACATTTGAATCAGGACTTGAAGGGCTTGAAATTCTGCATAGTTGCTTCGTTGCACACTAAGCTGTCTATTATAGGTCTTATGTTACTTTAAATTCATATCGATTGTATACAAGTACCAATATCAACAAAAAGAGAAGACCATGACTTTTTCGTTGTCTAATTTACAAATGTTCACTCGTTCCTATCTGGTAATTCTTATATTTTTCATCTCACCGTGCCAGTGAGAGATCCAAAAAATTTGACCCAACGTAATCAAAGTTAAAGTTCTGACCGCAGAATCTCGAAAGTGCTAAACGTAACGTTAACTTGAATTATTGTAAAGAAGAACATACTAAAATTTTCTCGATGTTATATTTCGTGGTGTTTAAATCGAACTAAGCATGAAAAAGACTAAGGTAAGATATTTGAAATTGAATTCTTTATTTCATACAAACTTATTCACTCATACTTCTACACTACATTTCACAACTCTGACGAATAGTTCCGTCAACTAAAAACCTAAAAATTCTAAATAACTCTTCCACTTTTCAAAATCTCTTCTCCAGGCTTCGCAGAGTATATCGATTTAAGGGAAATCTATGTGCACCGTATATTCCGAAGAGTGCAGCCATACTCTTAAACTAATACACCACAATCTCTGTAGAAATGTAAAATCTCTCCGAAAGCAGTTAAAACAAGATAAAAACATTTCATCACACTCTATATTTTCCAGGAAGAGCATGACCGGAAGCGCTTGATGCGAAGCAGTGTCACTGCGGAGGATGGAACTCTGAGACCAGTGTACTCCGAGACAGATGACGGAGACATATGGTGCCACATATGCAATGTAGCCCTCTTCGGAGCCCACAAGCTTATCAGTCACAATTCCTGCAACCGTCACAAGATAAAATTAGACGAGTGGCCCTACCCAGTGCTTCTGTGGTCAAAGAGAACCGACAATGTGAAAAAGTCCACTCCGAATACTCAGGGTGGAAGCTTGACCGAGCCCCTGGCTCCAGGGGAGCCTGTGCCCCCAGGTATGGAAGACACCCTGACGAGGACTACAGCGATCCAGGTGAGCCTGGATCGCCATCGAAGCTCGCCTTTGGTCGGCCTCGAGTACCTTCTGGAGCTCGTGGACAACGACTCCTGCGAGCCCAGTTACACTTGCGTGTTGTGCGACAAGAGGGGCGACCCGCGTACCGTGATGGCCCACATAACGAGCTACAACCACCGCATAACGTACCTTAACAGGCACTTTCCCACGATATCGCGCGCTATCACCGAGCTACCGCGCACCGCCAACTACAAGCGCGGGGCCAATGAAATTTCCGTTTTGGTGGCCAAGAAGATCGAAGAACACTTCGGCAGGCTGCAGCCTCAGCTCGTCGACAAGAATCAGTTTGAGAAGAGCAAGATGCAGTACATCAAGCGGGTCTATCAGGACTTCCACTTTAGGTAGGTCGACCTAGTCCAAGTTTAATGCATGCCCTTGGAGCCGCCTCGGCAAACACAGATCCGATGTATCGTCCGAGTATCGGCCAAGCAAAGTGGCGGGCTTTCGCGTAGTCGCGGCCATTACCGCCGAACTATCTCGGTCTGTGTTCGCGGGGTTGCTGGCCTTGGAGAACCAAGATCAAGGTCGCTCGTCGGCGACCTCGGATTTCTGGGGTATCGCAGCGGCCATCGCTTCGAGGCGATGCTGCTGGGACACGCTTTTCCGTTCGTTCGCTCTCTCCTCTCTTACTGTTGCTCTGACCGAGCGGTAATAAACGTGGCTGTTTCCTACGTACAGGGAAACGCCAGAGTTAACGTTTATGGAAGTTTACGATGTGCGATGGGTGACGAACTTTGAAGAGAAGATGGCGGAGTTGAGTGTTGGTGGGAGTGGTGGTGTTGGGATCGCGAAGAAAGGTGAGTATTAGGAGGTTCGGGAGAGGAGGCTGCTCGGTTTTCGAGGTGATCCTTTAAATTCATACGATTGTTCGTTTTGCATTAAGATCTACCCTCTACGGAACCCGAGAAGATCGAAGAGAAACCGAAGAAGGAGGAGAAGAAGGTTGAGAAGACCCCGTTGAAGAAGGTCGACCCCAAGACAGATAACACTAAGCAGTAAGTAATGGGTGATTTACTTGAAAGCCTTCACTTATCTCCCTAAACATCACTTTTAACGGTGAACTCCTTGGGAAAAACTGAAGAAGTTGCATGGCCACTTCCTAGGTGGTACATTTATCTTAGTTCATCCCAAGGATGTCACCCCAGGATCCTATGATTATTTTCGGATCGTACGTATAATCGACGTCTAACAAACGTTTCCTATAACGTTTCACCGAGGACAACTTTTAAGGGCCCAGCCAGGTCCGGTACTGTTTGCATACAAGTTGAATTTTTTCTAGGTTCAAAATCCGCATATTGACCAAGGACAAGCTGAACATCCGCGGTCCGAGTAAGCCGGAGGAGAAGCCGAAGAAGAAGTCCCCAGTCCGACCCTCGGACGACACCAAGTCGTTGTCTTCCCTGTCGAGTATTTCCAGCAGTCCGTCACCCTCGCGCTCTAGATCCCGTTCTCCAGGACGGACGAAAAAGAATAGTTTGGCCGATAAAGGTAGTACTAGCGGTAAATATAAGTACAGGCCTCGGTACTCCAGGGAACTGGAGCGCGACCGGGACCGGGAGCGTGATCGCGAGCGTTCGCGTTCCCTAGAGCCCCTGAAGGAGCGGGACAAGTGGGAGAAGTATCGGGAACAGATTCGCCGAGCTGAGGAGACCCTGGACAGGGCCCTGAAGTTCCACGAGAAGAACCCGGAGAAACATCCGGCGTACCCTGATGAGTGGAAGAAGTTCTGGAACCGGAGGTACAAGGAACTCCAAGCGGAAGGTAAGGACCCCAGCAAGCACGATTACAAGCCCGAGTGGATAGAATTCTGGAACAAGCGGATGCGCGAGATTCACAACGAGCAGCTGAAACAAAGAAAAGAGGAGATCAGGAAGCGGTTGGAGCTGCCCGAAGACAAGCCACCGGAGAAATGGGTGCCTCCTCCTAAGAGGGAAAGGTCCCCGAAGAGGAGGCACGCGGTGGACAGCGACGACGACGTGGAGTACGTCGGGACGAAGATGAAGGTCGAGTATCACGAAAGCAGAGATCGCCACGAAGCGAGGGAGCGGGAGTACCTGTACGCATATTCTCGGGGAAGAGGTGGCACTTATAGAGGGTATTACCCCAGGCCACCTGCGAGACCCCGGTACGCCTTACCGTATCCTACGAAAGAGGACTCTCCGGGTCCTTCGCTCCCGGAGGAGCCTTTTAACGAGGATTTGGAAATCGTGGGTCTCCTGCGACTTCTGACAGCACTGGAGGGCCAGCTAGGGTCTCTGGGTCCTAAAATAGTGTCCCTACTTTCTCGCGCTCTGGCGGCCGAGAAGGTGAAGCCCAATTCTGCCGAAGATCTGTTGTTCGACGAGGAGGTCAACGTTCTGTTCGAGACCGTGAAGGAGAAGCTGAAAGGTCAGCTCTTCGCCGGGATGATCGAGAAGATGGCTATTGTGCCGACGAAGACCGCCATTCAGAATATCGCCCAGCTACTGCACAAGGCGTCCGAGACCAAGAAGAAGCTGGAGGAGGAGAAGAGGAAGCTCAAGGAGATGCTGGAGAAGCCGAAGCCCGTGAGCTATCTGAGCAGGACTCTGTATTCCAGACCTGTAGAGGTACCTCCGGTGAAATCGGAACCCGTTAGCGTTCCTGGCGTGGGTGCCGTCGATAAGGTCGCCATTGCTCAGCAGATCGCCGCCGCGTTGATCGCTCAGGGTAGACCCAACGTCTCCCAGGACGAGCTGGAGACGTTGATCAACGCCGTGGTCGGCATGGCCGAAGCGTCCAAGAACTCGGACAAACCCATCACCACTGCCGATTTTGTCAAGGGCTTATCCCAAGGGAACATCTCGGCGACCCCGACCCCGTCCGCTCCTCCTCCAGCTCCTAAACCTCTCGACAGTGCCGAAGCCCACGCGGCCAGAATGGAGACCCTCTCCGATGTCGATCTGAAGCTTCTCCTGCAGAACTTCAAGGAATTGAGCACCGACGAGCAGCACGGTCTGATCAATTTCTTGAAGAAGCTGGAGGCAACGGATCCTGGCCGCGTGGAGAAGCTGAGGGCTTTCGTAAACCTAGGGACCGGTCCAACCATCTCCAAAAAGGAGAAGTCGCCGTCTCCCGACAAAGGGGACATCATCAGGACCGGCAGGAGCAACTCGCCGTTCTCCACCAGGAAGAGCAACCAGAACCCACCGGACGACGAGCTCAAGTGGAAACCCAAACTCGACATGTTCGCGGAGGACGACGACGAGGAGAAAAAGAAGAAGGAGGAGGAGAAGCCGAAGGCTAAGCTGGACCTCTCCGATGATGACGATGACTACACGTTCGAGGACATCTACAAGGCGGCCGATAAGAACGTTAACGAGAGCGAGAAGGCGAAGAAAAAGTACAAAGGAAGCGCCTCTCCGCAGAGATCCAGGTCTGTCAGGTCTCCAAAATCCTGGTCCAGGTCTAGGTCCAGGTCCAGGTCCATGTCGAGGTCGAGATCGCGGTCCAGGTCTCCTCTGGCTAAGTCTAAGGACCTCGCCAAGAGCACCGACCCCAACGCTATCCTGAACGAGACCAAGCGACTCATAGCGAACATCATGGGCGATCTGCCCAACAAGTACGTCCCCAAGTCGCACATCAATGTCGCGCATCAGGAGGACTCGGAGCCCACGGGACCTCCTGGTTCCACGCCCATCTCAGTCCCAGTTAATTATAGCCAGGGTTATGTTGGGAATCCCTCCGGTTCCCAACAACTGCAAGGTCCTGGACAAATGCCCTTCCCGGGGATGTCCGGCCAGTTCCAGAACTATCCAGGGCCCAACCAACAAGTCTATAATGGTAACCCTAACTATATCAACAACGGGTACAACTATGCTCAAGCTTACGGGAACATGGGGGGCCAACCACAGTACAACCAACCTTCCATGGCCCCGAATCAGTACCCTAACCAACAGATGTATGGAACTCCACAATATGGCGGAGCGCCTCAAGTCACCCCTGGATATCCCCAGCAACAACAGCAATATGCAAACTACTCCCAGCAACGGTTTTACTGATCCTCAACGACTACTGACTAGCTCGACGTAGAGCTGGCAGTGAATCTCGCCGAGATACCAGAAATCTGATGAATCGTTGCTCTTCGTGTCTGACCTCGACGGCAGCCTTCGGTCTCCGTGAGAAAATGGCCTCCGGAGATTAAGCAGATTTTTTCTGTAGCGTTTTCTACTACTCGACCGATGTTATCGGTGTGGACTGTTTTAGTGGCCGTCGGGGTTTAATGATCGCCGTTAGGACGCACTTTGCGATGGATTTTTATTGATAAAACCTGCTGTGAACAAATCCGTCGTCTTGTCCTGTACTATGATCTAGATACGAACAATGCCATTGGTTCCGCGGGTCGAGATGAACCGCTCGGATTCGATTAGAGTTCACACGAATGATCGACGCCAATTATCGTGATGTATCGCATTATATATATTTTTTTTTTCCTTTTTTTTTTCTTCCATTCGACGAGCCCGTTACGATAGGTCGACAAGGCCGGGACGTGTTAATTTAGGAATGGTTATTATCGGTTTGTTCCGTCGCATCTTTTCGGAGGAATGCGAAAACCCGCTTCGAGGGTGGTTTTAATATGTTCGCGTTATCTGGACATTATTAAACGGACACAGGGAGAATACAGGCCCGTTTTATGTGTCCTTGGCGCGAGACTCTAACGATCTTTACCCCGTTTCGTCGCGATGCATTCCGCAGAGAATTCATCCAAGGAAACGGTCGGTACGTTTGAAGCGACACCTGGAAGCTCGCCGAGTTTCGCGTCAGCATAATTTCTAAGTCTTTTTAAACCCCGGATTCTCGAAGCGGCTACTTTTAACGTATTGTACAGACATTCGACGCGGACCCGCCGAGGCGCGGCTCGTCCGCCATTTTGTGAACACGTGCGAGTGATGTAACGGACAAGTCCCTCGTGCATCGGTGTGCAACAATCCTCCCACCTTAAACGGAAACGGACAAGAATATTTACCGAAGCTTTACGAAGCTGCCGAGGATGCTCGGAGCTGACTTCCCGCCACGTGAGTTTAGAAATACCGAAGCTTCTCGCGGCATCCGCTCGCGAATCGGAAATACAAGATGGCGTCGGTAGGCTCACGTGACCGAGTCACCTCGGGACCCGCCTAAACGACATAAGAGAAAGTAAGAGGAAAAGGTCCTGCGGAGTCTTCTGAAGACGGCCGAGGATGTCCCCAGGGTGGGCGCGAGGGAGTATTGCGCGACTCCTTACGCTCGCTATCACTTAATCGTTAAGTAGACCGGTACTCCTACCGAGTATTTGAAATTGCACGTTGACTAGAGTGTTTCCAAGAGAGTTCAGTCTGGTTGTCGCGCGTCCCGACATGTTTATATCTCGCGAACGAGTAGAGGACGCGTCGAGAACCTTCGGGTCGAGGTCACGCGAGCGTAGTTTCAACGTTCCTTGCGATGGACGTTGCGTCATAACAAAGATGGCGCGTGCCGCCCGTGTACATGGTAATAGGTTATGATATACTTTTACAACGGACGCAACGACAGAGGTTGAAACAACGCTCCGGTGGCCCCGGCCTCGCGCGGCACGTATCCGCGCATAGAGCATGCACACAAGTATATAAATAAGAGAAATAAACGCCATGGTAAGAGAAGCACAAGCCTAAAATCGTACAATATTTACAAAAGACTCCGCAAGGTGCGCTGCGTTCGCGTGACTAAATCGGATGCGGCGAGGAAGGCGATCACTTGGGGACCAGACCGCGGGGTTTTGGATAAACCGGTGCCGGGGTTTGTGGAATCTTGGCGACACTCTTAGGCCGAACCTTGGCCGACTGTAAACGAGTTTTCGATCTCAGCCGAACGTTGGAGGCGTCGACGTCGATGTCGCCCTCGTCGCGAAGCGCTTCCTCGAGGACGGCCTGGATGGTCGGGGCGATTTTGGGTCCCTGGTACTCCAAGGTCGTTCTCGGAGGCATGTCGAGCTCTAGATTAAGGATGTTCTCTCCTGCGTAGCGGTACCCACTCCTGGCCATCGCCAAGGCGATCCTGGCGTACTCGGACACCGGTCTCCTGGCTCCAGGAGCCGCCGTCAGTCTCTCCAGGTACTCCAGGCTGGAGGGCTCCGGGTCCTTCATCACCCACTTGTCCTCCTCGTCGTCGAACCGGATCCTCGCGAGGATCTTCTGCTTCTCCTCGTCTGGGATGAAGTTCTCGATGATGAGGTACTTCAGCTTCAGCTCCTTCATCAGCTCGTCCTGCTTCTGCTCGAGGCTTCTGCGCTGCGCGTTGAACTCCTGGGTCGCCTCCTCGACCTCCAGCTTGACCGTCTGCATCCTGGTGAAGATCATCCGGAGTTTCTTGGTCTTCACGTCGACCTCCTGCTGTAGGGTGGTGTAGGTCTCCCGCACCCCCAGAGTGGTCAGCTCTTCGTCTTCCAGCTTCTGCTTCATCACCTCTTCCCGTCTCTTCCGCTCCGCTATCTCTGCCGCTCGTTGTTCAAGGGCACGCTGCTGCTCGTTGGTATGGTCGATGATGTTTTTGCCGCCGTACAGCATCTTGCTCTCCAGGTCCCTTATCCTGTGCACCAGGGTCTCCGTCTCCTGCTTCTCTGCCCGGAGTTGCTCGGCTATCAGCTTCGCATCCGCCTCGGTGACCTTATTGTCCTCTCTGCTGTCCTCCGTCTCCGAGCCCGTGTCGCCGGCTCCGTCTTCGCGCTTCTTCCTGGACTTCTTCTTCTTCTTCGGCACTGTACCCTTCAGGGCCAGCTTCTCCTTCAGGCGGTTGATCTCCTCCTGGTACTGCCTCAGCAGCGCGTCCTTCGGATCCTCGTTGATCCTGGGCTTGTTCTTGATGTCCTTCGCGCGGTTTGCGTACCTCAGGGTCGTCAGGGTCTCGTCGTAGTTGTAACTTGCTGGACCTATGTTCGCTATCATGATGGTCTTAGAGTTACCTCCCAAGGAGTCCTGCAGCAGCCTGGTTAGCTTCGAGTTCCTGTACGGCACGTGGGACGTCTTCGGGTCGACCAGGGCGGAGATCACGTTGCCGAGGACCGAGAGACTTAGGTTGATCTTGCTGGCCTCCTTCAGCCTCTCTCCGGAGGACCCTGTCTTGCTCTGCCTCTCGCTTCCGGCCAGGTCCACCAGGTTCAACCTACCTACGCGAATACCTGCACTGTCGCCGATCGAACCCATCTCTATGGTGATCAGGAATATCGCGTGCGACCGGGAACTGTGCTCATTCATGTTCGTGGCTCCGATGGTGCGGTTCTGGTTGCCGGTATTCATTAAGTGCTGAATCTCTGCTGCACTTTTGCAGACCGAGGTCGAGAGGTCTTTCACGAAGACCCCCGTGTCGGGTTTTTCCTTCAGCTCGAACCTCAGGGTTTGGTCCGGGTGCAATAAGTCCCGAATCTCCTCCTGGTAGATCTCCAGGTAGCTCGCTCGCACCAGGTATTGCATGTTCTCCGTCCTCCCGATGCGGTCGAAGATGTGCTCGAAGGACCTGGGGATGATGCCACGACGTTCTAAGTCGTTCTTGGAACCTTCCATGGTGTAGGTTTTTCCGGTCCCGGTCTGCCCGTAGGCGAAGATTGTCCCGTTGAAGCCATCTAGGACAGACGACACCAGGGGCCTTACTGTTTCCTCGTATATCTCCCCTTGCTTCGCGTTCCAGTCGTACACTGCATCAAATGTGAATTCCTTAAGGTTCTCTCTGGATGGGTCTTCTCGAGGATTGTGGATCTCCACTACGCCTCTCGAAGGATAGACTTCTACGACCTGGGAATAACCTCGAGTCGACTCCTTCGCATCCATTGGTCTGCATCGTACCACTACCTGGACGCACTGTGTCGTTCCGTCCGCTGACATTATCATTCTGGAGTTCCGCTTTTTCAGTTTCACCTGGTAGTCGCTTTTCTCCATCTTTGCTTTTCGTTGGTGGTCTGTTGAGGAGGTATTTAAGTTAACTGGTCTCTTCGGTGTGAAAGATGTTACTGGAACGTATTATATCCCTCCTGAGCCATCTTGGACGTGATTAAAATGTTAATTAACGTCTGTGGTCAGGCGAGGGAAATATAATAAGCTTTGGAGGAGGGTCTGAACTTTTTTCTCCGTCGTAAGGGATTTATTTGGTACTTAGTTTTTTCCTTTAAGACCAAAATCTTTGGTATCTGCAATGATATAAATATGAAATATCGGTTAACAGATAGTTCTTATCAATATTAAAGTATTTGGAGTATGGATTTCAGTTTCTTACAAGTACCTTAATAATGAATCCTAGCGATGAATCCTTACTCTTCGAGAGATGCTTTGAGTATTAATTTGCTTGATACATGGAACATCGTCTATTTCTCAAGAATATAATGCCCTGAAGGTTCATAACTATCCGACGCACAGCTTAAATTTTCAGATTCTTTCAGTATCGGTCCTCCAAAGTGTCCTTGTAAGTCAAAAGGATTTTGACATTTTAAAATTGACATTACAATTGTCATAATACAGAGACATTAACCAGTAAATTATTCGACATCGGCATGACTCACAACATTACAGACTATTGATTCGTTAAGGATGTTAATTTCATTTTTCTTTTCTTTACCTCCAGGGTGTGTCTCGCGACGGGAAGACTATTTTCTAGGATGAATTTTAAACTTCTTCAACGCAGACAAAAAGTTTACTTGGTCTGCATTGCGTCTTCTAACACGCAAGAACAATTTCCACCCTCGTGCCTGGTTACCCTCCACCTAGAGACTATTTGGTATTGATCTATTGTTTGACATCTGACTTTTGCCACCGGCGAGAAATCTCGGACTGTCGCCATCTCTTGGAGAGTAGTTCACACATCTGTCGGTAATTTACCGTCAATTTAGACTTTTATACTCAACCATAGAGTCGGAAAAGTATAGAAACAGTTTTCATAATAACGTGGAAGCCAATTCTCCAAAAACCTTTAGGGAGATTTAACGGTATAAACTGAAGTTCTTAACTTACCTAAAGGACGTTTTACAATTCCTGATAATATTAATTAATGAATGATGTCGTATGCTTATATCAGAGATGAGTTGGGAGATTGCTCACGGGCAGGAGGGCAACCAAACCAGAGGGCAGCACAGGATGCGATCCCACAATCCTGCCCGTGAGCAATCTCCCAACTCATCTCTGCTGTTATATTCTGCTAAAGTAGCATGCTATTGGCTAAGATTTTTTATACCTAGGGTTATGCATAGATGGGCAACGCAGTTACTGAAAATGACCCGCGACTGTTTCCACTTTTCTTAAACTGCAGTGGAATTGGTTATCGCAAATATTCGAACACTGCGTTAAGGGTTACGTTTGAACTTTTGTTAAAACATTGAGAATTCTTCGTTATCGACCGAATCTGACCGAGTCAGAAACCCGTGGCAGTTTTGGAACATTAATGAGGGCATGCAAGTCACTTTTTATGTCCACAAGCTCGTCAGTCTGTGATAGGCGACCTACCTAATTAATTTCCATGCTTCGTCTATGAGACACGGTGTATCACCTTCCTGTGGTATTGATCCAGCATCTTTTTATTTACATTTTCATCACGAGCATCTCATTTTGAATCCTTAATTCTGTAGCTGTAATTTTCATGAAATTTATAAAAACAATTAGGATAATAGAGGAGTGACGTCATTTAAGAAGTAGGTATCAGTGTTTTATGAATTGTATAAGATTGTCGGATGAATGTTACATTTATTTCCTTGGAATTTCTGGCAGCTGGTGGATAACTACATTATGTGTTAATTGAATTTTGAGGTTTTTGGTAAGATCGTTGGATCTTTATATTTCAGGCAAAATGAAATTATGGCTGGTAGCGATTCATATATTCCTGGTGGCAACTAATCTCTGGGTTACGGCTAATTTCCATAACGAGGTGCCTGAGGATAATGAGTTCGCAGAGTTTGAGGATTTCGAGGAAGAGAAGCCCAGTGCGCCAGCGATTGATCGCATGACCGAAGAGTTTCGAGAAGCGGAGAGAAGCGAAGCCTTTGATGAAGACGATGTTATGGTTGAGGATGGAGATGGAGAATTCGATCATTTTCAAGATGAAGAAGAATTCGAGGGACTGGATGCAACTGGTGGAAATGCTGGACCAAAAACAGATGAGCCTTCTACGCTAACTATCACAAAGGTCCCTCTTCATCTACGAGCAAGATGGGATGGTTTCTATTTGGAGATTCTAATGGTTGCCGGATTATTGGTCTACTTCATTAATTACATAGCTGGTCGAACTAAGAACTGCCGTATTGCAGAAGTTTGGCTGGCCGACCATAGGCAGCTTCTGATAGACAACTTTTCCCTTGTCGGAGATACTGGAAGATCCAGCGATGAAAACCCTGAAAATGGTCTGATAAAAGAAAGCGAGTCTCAGTACAGCCTTTACTGCTCCGGTAGAGTTGGTTGTAATTCCTTGCTGGTTGAATTAAAATTAATCAAAAGGCAGGATTTGGTAGCACTGTTGGCGCAACTTGTTCGACCACAAAATGACCAGGCTCATTTAAGAGTTGAATTCGCCAGAGACGAGACTGACACTTTCGTTCTAGCTGTTGCAGCAAAAAGGACTGCTGTGCATATGGTCCGAGACATGGCTGACATTAGCGTCTATTGTCCAGAAAAGAGGCCAGGTGAGAAACTGGGCCTTCCAGCAGGTTTCAATGTAATGTCTGAAATTGCAGAAGTCACTTCGGCTATTCTCGATACCAGAGTTCTCCAAGCCTTTGCTAAATACGCCCCCTACATAGACTACATCCACATCAGTGATCAGTACAGTGGAGCGAAACAACAGGAGTAAGTGTCGTATACAAAGTAAATGAAAGGTTGAGAAGACAAAAATAATGAACAATTATTACTTTATTTTTACAGAGATTCAGGCCAATTGACAATGCCTGAGGTGAAAAGAGTATTATTAGTCGGTCTGAATATAAGTATTAAAGGGCGATTACCAAACCCTGAGAGTCAAGAAAAGATGCGACCTTTACTTCAATTAACTTTCTACCTTGTGGACAAGTTAGGTCGATTTAAATTGTCCAAAGAGGTATGTCCTTACAACTATTTATTTAATACTCCATTAGTTACATGTTTCTCTTTTGATTGTTCTATACAGTATACATTACATTATTTGAATTTGTTAATGTCAACTCAGGGCAAAAGTAAAGCTGAGAAGAATCGCTTGCGAGTCGAAGAAGCTTTTCTGAAGACAACACACGCAGCTCGAGCTGAAGCAGCTGCTCAACGCAGAGAGGAACGCAGGAGAGTAGAGAAAGAAAAAATTCTTCAAGAAGAAGATCCAGATAAGCAAAGGAAATGGGAAGAAAAGGAGCAACGAAGACTTGCCAAAAAACGTGCTCCCAGAATGAAGCAACTCAAAGTCAAAGCGTTGTGACCTCATGAAACTTTACGAACCTTACAAGACTCTGCTTGAACAAACCTCAGACATTCACGCAGCGTCGTTTCAGTTTTTTCAAGGCTCCGTCTTCTAAACGGGAAGACTAATTTCATCAAGAAGAATAATATGAATTTCCTTTCATGGTGGTTGGATGGGATGTAAAGAAGGGAGAGAGTTGCAAATTTCCGTTAAAGTACTCTACCGTACTTCTGATTCTTACTGCCACTTTATACTTCACATGGTCTGCCTTTTCGTTAAATTTTTAAGAGTTATTTATTTTCGTTAATGTCAACAGAAAAGGGAATGGCAAATTGATTTAAAGATGTTGGTCTCGAATTATTTAAACTGAAGAAAAGTGCATGTGCACCTGACAAGGGTTAATTATAATTTATAGAAAGAGTATTTATTGTAATTGAGTGTTTAGAATTTCTACAGAGTTTAAACCTTACGACCAGATACTGACTCATATTTGTTGCAAATAGAAAACACAGGTGCCTACTAGTTCTTTGATTTCTTTTCGATACTAGAAAATCCCCTCAAGGATTCTCAAAACATTCATTGTAAATCTCTCATTGTTTATCACGGTCACAATTTAGTGTAAACTCTCTCGTGTACCAGAATTGTTAGAATGTGATTGGACATTACAGTGGTAGATCAAACGAGGAAGGTACTGTTATAGGTACCAAGTCATGCGCATAACTGATACATCATTGACTGTATATAACAATAAACACACGGATTTTCAATAAGTCGAAATAACAGTGGAATAAAGTAAAGTTGACTAATGGTCAAGGCGGTTCTTTGAAATATTAAGCACCTATTAAAAATCACTATCAACGGTTCTGCGACTTAATGAACGGCAAAACATTTCGAACTACCACATCATTTATGTTACATAATTTTATATTTAGTATTCAGATGTTAATATTTACTTTCGGAATGTTCTCTAGATTGGACTTGTATGTAAGTCCTTGGATAGGATGGATCTTGACTATCTTTTAATATTTGTGAGTTACGTTTAATGACTGTTTTAGGAAATTCAAAGTTGTGATTTGAAATGAAGTCGGCGATGACAATGTTAAGTCCTTCACTGCCGGGAGAATTCTTTTGAATCCATGGAAGAATTGCGTGACGACATGTTTCAGACAAATCCCGATAAAGATTCCCACAAACATGCTTCATGACGAAGAAAGTATCCGGGGTCAAAAGGCACTGGGAGACGAAAGCAGTCTGCGGGGATCTACACCCTAACTTGGTGTCTAAAAAATTCAGCAGATAATCTGCATGGACGGTATCAGGCCACGGTGTTGGCCAAAATCCCGAAGGCCACAAATCTGTATAATCTTTAGCAACTACATGTCTGTAAATGACGAAAACCTGATACTTTTCTAGGGCCAACCATTGGAGCGAGATGTGACTGAAGTTGCCGAAGACAGGGCAGAGTTTTCCCCAAAATAACGTATGTATCTTCTCTATCAGGAACCTATGATGAGCGTCAGAGAAAATATAGAAGTGCTGAAAGTCTAGGATAACCACTTCATTGGGATGAGTTGCCAACCAGTCTGCTACTTCCTGCAAAGGGTCGCTGATCTCCGATCCATAGAGCCCGTGAAGGAAATAGATTCCGTCACTTCCAAGTTTCGTGGCTACACGTAAATCCAAGTATCTACACACAAAAATAAATTATATACCGGATAACTGGATGTATCATTTCGATCCAAGGCGCACTGAAAAATATTTATCTAATACAAGCAAGCATGTAAGCACTACTGACAGAATCAACCAGGGAAAATGTTAATACATTTTTTGTTTTATTCACAAAACGTCTTGCCAAGACATTTTGAATCTTTCACCGTGGCATATTGAAGTACCTGATGCCTCCGTTTAATTGCTGTGTTACGTTGTCGTATTGAGTGATAGACCAATTGAAAATAATTGGCTTTGATATTAAGGAGCAGTAGCGGCCGAGAAATTGGATGGCCATCGATTCGTCTGGCCCTACTTCGTTGTATTTAGCGATTGTGTATGTCATCGTGTCGTGAGAACCTATTACGATTGTAAGAAACATCACAATTAAATTTAAAATCATTCAAGGTTTTCACAGTACTATCACTATTAGATTAAGGTTTCAAACTTACCGGGTATGGCGAGGCAGTTTATGGGGACAGTTTGCAGCCTTGCCGGAAGTCGAGTCATCCAAAATTCAAGATTCTCCGACAGATCGTTTTCTTCTGTTTCAGCCGAACCCTTAAGATCCTCCATTATTTAAAAGAAATGCCACTATTTTCGAAACAACTCCATATATAATTGATAGAAAATGCAAAATGTAATGAATCGCTGAGTCGGTGATTAAATTCTCGACATCAAAGATGGCGTCGAATGGTCGCAAGTCGGAGTCGTCGAATCAGTACGGACTGCCCGGAATTTCTTGTCTTTGTATCGCCATGTCTCATTGTTTCGATCCTACAATGATTTCTCACGACACTTCCCCACCTTTTCTGCTTCGATGAATCCAGTTAAGTGGCAACATAACTTGTAATTATTAATTTCTTCTCGTTTCTCAGGTAGGGAGAACGCACTCTGTCGAGAATAGTTGAACTTTCGATTGAAGCAGCGCGCGGTATATATGACTGCAGAGTGTATTTTGAAACCCGAAACTAAAGATTATGAACCATGTTTGCCAAGAAGAGAAGAGAAGCTTGCGGTTTAACATACAACGAGAAATGGCATTACTCGTGCCAGGTGCAAAAGCGATTTATTTTGATTTTGGCTGGTGAGGTAATTTCTCGTTGAGTAAGACAATCCTAATCGGGAAGCAAACTGATATTCCGATTTTCAAGGAATTTTGTATCGCTCTGTTATCGACATGCATAAACTGTACACAGCTGAGGAATGAAACAAAACATTTAATATACCGATACAACGCGACAAAGCGTTGTTTCCAACTTCAATGAGATTAAAGATATTAAGATAAAAGAACGAGCGATGACTTTGACGATAAAGCTATCGAAAGAATGTATCGACCTGGAAAAAGGCATACAATGGAATTGTGGATAAAGAGTCAACGGGTCTACACTAAGGAGCAATTTTAAATAATTCTACTTATCAGCTGGCAAAGCAGTTCGATTGTATCTACTGCTGATAAGCAAGTACTCGTGCAGATGATTTACGATTAAAGAGTACTCCACGTGAAGTGCTAAATAACATCCGATTGTATCAATTTGAATTTCAGAACAATGGCTTCCATCTTGGGAAGGATTCTATTCCCCCATAGAATGTTCGGAAATGAAGGGGTGAGAAGTGATTCTGATTAAGGAATGGCCACAGAATTGACAGCATGCTCTAAACGATCTCAATAACACATTCGTGGAGCTAAAGTGTCAGGAATGTTGCTTGTTACACCGGGCTTGAATTTCAATTAACCCTCACTCATCGTGTCCGCAAAATGGACGCAATTACTTTGCATTACACCCGTTTAATGAAGCGACCGTAACGTTAATTTCGATGAACCTTCCAACGCAATAGAACAACGGTTTCTGGATTGTGTGCGACAAGGATGCAGATATATTCTGGTCTGCCTCTCTCTAGAAAAAAATTGTCGTACAATGCCGCTCAAATTCAGGCCAGACCGGTATTCCGCTTTCTTATGCACAGGTAACGACTTTCTTGCCAGATACTGTGTAATTCTTATTTATTTATAATATTAGTTACGAAAATACCGGTGCCGGTTTTGCCGGTGTGGACGACAAGTTTTGCATTACACCGACTTTATGGAACTATTGTAACGTGGATTTCCGACCTTCCAACGCGACAGGACATTCAACGAGTAATTATGAAAATATGTCAGTTTTATTAATATATCGGTGTACGAAAAAAAATATTAAGTACGTAATTCACAAGTATTAAGTTAATTGATCCTGGAGAACTTCACATAGAGGTCTTTCTTCGAAGAAATTATGAAGCTCCTGGTGTTCAATTCGTATGGAATCGGAGTCTTCTCCGAAACTTCCACTCGGTAGTTTAATATGATTTGTATCAGGCCTACTTTGGTCTGATACATGGCAAACCGAGAACCTGAAACAAACAATAAATCCTACCTTAGATTATATCATTAAATTCCCAAAGTACGAATTATTATGACGGGACTGCTTTTGTGACCGTGGGGATTTATTCTGAAGTTAATATAAATATTTCCAGGTGAGATAAACAATTACCGATGCAGTTCCTTGGTCCATCCCCGAAAGGCAAGTACGCCATCGGATGTCTCTCAGCTTCCGCTTCTGGGGTGAATCGCTCTGGATTAAATTCTTCCGGCTTAGGAAATATTTCCGGATCCATTTGGAATGCATAATTAGGGATCCAAACTACTTGCTCTTTCGGTATCGTCACGTTTGTACCCGCAAATGTGTATTCGTTAAGAGCCTGCCTAAATAAAAAGGGTATCGGCGGGTACTTCCTCAAAGCTTCTGAAGAAGAAATTCAATATTTCGGCATTTCGAGAAATCTGAATTTCATCCAACCGATCTCGTCAAGATTCCGTCTATACCTTTGAAAACCATGTCGAGGTAGTGCATTTCCTTAACCCCGTCGTACGTTATCGCACCGTTGTCTTTTTGGATCTGCTCCTTTATGCCTGCACGCAATTTGTCCTGGACATTTTGGTTCAGTGCTAATTCATAAAGGACGTGAGTCATGGTCATGGAAGAGGTTTCAAAACCAGCAACGAAGAAAACGAAAGCCTGGGAAGCCAGCAACTCGTCCGTCAGGTCTGGGAATAAAAAATTCCCCTAGTTAAACTTCCTCTTATGCCGGTCCCTTTTTCAAAAATACATTTGCTAATTATAATTTTCATCATCCACTCACTTATGTCCTCGATTTTCTCCGGGTTGTCCCGAAGCTCCATCAGCATATGTAGGAAGTCTTTTCTGATGACATTGTTCTTTTTCCTGTACTCCATCGTCCCAATAATGGAGTTGAGGAAGAAGTCCATTACCTCCGTGCCAAATATGTAATGTCCGAAATTTCCGTAAATCCAAGGGAATGCGTCTCTGAACCAATTTCTTAGAAGATTCGACAATTTCGTGTCGAAGACCTTCCTCCCCATTCTTCTAAACTCGCTTTCGTCGTCCGATAAGGAAGACAAGTTGAGGCCGAAGACGCAGGTTCCGATGACGTCAGTGGTGAACCTAGACGTTATGTCTCTGCAATCTAGGACCGGATCTTTCGCGGTAACCTGGTCCAGATATTTTTGGAAACCGTTTCCACACTCCAGGATCAAATAGAACATCTCCTTCAGTTTTCCAGAAGTGAAAACCGGCGATAACTTCACCCGCAATGGCCGCCATCTTTTGGCCTCCAGAAGGAAGAGATGCTGCCCCAGCGGTTCGGGCTTCTCAAAGATCTTTACGCCTCTGTCGATGAAGTTCGAGAAGTCCTTTATCAGGACATCCTTCACGAGGTCGAGGTCATTTACGATAAGTGCCGGGTTCCTTTGAAGGAACACCCCGATAAATGGTTCCTTTTTGAACTCTTTGTAGAGTTGGTGGATGTAAGTTCCGATGGAGATTTTCGTCAGCAAGACATCCTTCCCGTTGCCAAAGAAGAGGATCGGCTCTGGGCCCTTGACTCCACGTTTTTTCCAAAAATCATACTTGGACATTAAGTAGTAGTAAAGGAGCACCAAAATGGCCGCCACCCCGCAGAGGATCTCCAGAGCGCCCATCTTGAACGTCGTCGCGTAATTGGAGTCGTCTCTGAAAAAGTAAAATTGTGGTTAAAACTCGTATATGGTTGACGTAAACAATATCTTCAAGCGAATGGTATTATTAGGTAAAGTCAAAATTGACCACTATCACGGAATGGTAACCACTAGCAAAACATGTGACATTCTAAGCGTCACTGTTATCATGATGATTATAACAAACCATGTTAATATCAAGGCTGCCACGGCTATAGAGACAACAAAAATAGAGGAGACATTGCTATAGTATGGGTATACGTAAAATTGTCCAGCATTGCCGAAAATATCCTACGAACACGTATGATTAATTTTAAGCCATAATTTAAGTGGTAAAAAACACGCGAAGAAACTTGTCACCATGGATTTGAATCACTGTTTAATTTAGTGCTTTGAGTGAAAGGAACGTCACGGTTGAATTGACGTCATTAGATTCATTGTAAATGGCGATCAGCAGTTTCTACGCAATTCATGAGAAAATCAGAGTCACCAATTACCAGCACGATTTGCACCCACTTTTTAAAATCGTATATTAAATGTAATGACGTTACGCTGAAGTTATCGCCTATTATTATTACGCGTGATTAATTGCGTGGTAGTTAAATAATGTAAAGTGCTTTGTTACAGATCTCGGATGTGACAATGTTCCCAACGGCGCAGTAGGAAGACTACCAGAGTAATTTTTCACAGACTGCACTTCAACACACTCCACGAAGCATGTCGCTATATGTATCCAACAGAATTTGCGCAATAGCAATTTTCAGCAATCAACGTGATATTACTGGCTAACTCAACTCCACCCTGTCGATTCAACAATTATCGACGTAACGTTGTAGTTACACAACGAAACCGCACTTTTAATCAGTACAAGACTAGTAAGTTATATATGACACACATGAACTTTGCCAGACATAAATGCCTTCCCTACGAATATGCCAGTATATAAAGGAAAATCCTCCGCGTCCGTCAGTCATTTATCAAGAAGATATCCACACTGACGCTTATCAATACCGATAAACATTGCCAATTCATTTTAACTGGAAGTGAGGATGATCTCTAGTGATGATTTAGTCATAAAGGAGAATTACATCAAGTATAGAAAAATATTAAAGTTACAAGAACCGTAATTCCGCATAGCGCCCATAATGCAGTTATTAATATCTAATATCAGTTCACCGTTAAAAAAAGAGCCGCCGAGCTATAAATCTGTGTATACTTACTAGAAATGCCTACAAATTATGCTATCTAAATTATTCACTTACACAATACGGTATTGAGGACAAATCTACATTATTTGAGGATTTAAAGTATACCCGACTTATCACACTTTATTCAAATTATTGTACTTAAATACAGTTTATTTTCACATATAGTAAAAAAAGTAAAATGAACTCGTCTGTTTAAAACATGGTAGCTTTATTAATATATCGGAGTATAAAAAATGATAAGTACATAATGAATGAGGGTTAATCCTTAGTTAATCTTAGAGAACTTCACGTAAAGATCGCTCTTCGGAGAGATTACAAAGCTCTTTGTGTTTAATTCGTATGGAATGGGAGTCTTCTCTGAAACCTCCACGCGGTAATTTAATAAAATCTTTATCAAGCCCACTTTGGTCTGATTGACAGCAAAACGAGATCCTGAAACAGATAGTAAATCCTACCTTATATTACATCTCTAAATACTCATTGTGGATTAAATTGCATCATTGAATAACTAATTGGGTTTTAAATTAATTCCCAAAATACGAATAAACATTCAGTGTCATTGTTATGAGGAAACTGTTTCCATAGGACTGCGAATTGGAATTAATTTAAATATTTTCTTGAGAAATGAACAATTACCGATACAGTTCCTCGGTCCGTCCCCGAAAGGCAAGAACGCCATCGGATGTCTCTCAGCTTCCGCTTCCGGTGTGAATCGCTCTGGATCAAATTCTTCCGGCTTAGGAAAAATCTCTGGATCCATTTGGAATGCAAAATTGGGTATCCAAACTAATTGTTTACTCGGTATCGTGAAATTAGTTCCCGCAAACGTATATTCCTCAAGACACTGCCTAAATATGAATGGTACCGGCGGGTACTTCCTCAAGGTCTCTAAAACACAAATTTAATGTTTCCTATTTCAAGCAATCTTAATTCTACTCAATTTCAAAAGTCAAGTTTCTGTCTAGGTGTACCTTTAAAAACCATATCGAGATAATGCATCTCTTTAACCCCTTCGTATGTTAACAGGCCGTCATTTTTTTCCATCTTTTCTTTAATGTCTGCACGCAATTTGTCTTGGATATTTTGATTCTGAGCTAATTCGTAAAGGGCGTGAGTCATGGTCATGGAAGAGGTTTCAAAACCGGCAACGAAGAAAACGAAAGCCTGGGAAGCCAGCAATGAGTCCGTCAGATCTGGAAATAATGAATTCCTGTAATTAAATTTTATCTGACTTATGATCCACTTTGAAGAATACTTTTCATCGTTAATTACTTCAGCTAGCGGATTTCATTGATTGGTTAATCAGACACAATAATGAAAGTCGGCTTACGTATGTCCCCTATTTTTTCAGGATTATCCCGAAGCTCTATCAGCATCTGAAGAAAGTCTTTCCTTACGATATTGTTCTTTTTCCTGTATTCCATGGTCCCAATAATGGAGTTGAGGAAGAAGTTCATGACCTCCATGCTGAATATGTAGTGCCCGAAGTGTCTATAAATCCAAGGAAATGCTTCCCTGAACCAATTTCTCACAAGATTCGGCAATCTCGTGTCGAAGACCTTCCTCCCCATTTTTCGGAAGTCGCTTTCCTCGTCCGATAAGGAGGACAAGTTGAGGCCGAAGACGCAGGTTCCGATGACGTCAGTGGTGAACCTCGACGTCACGTCTCTGCAATCCAGGACAGGATCATTCGCGGTGACATGTTCCAGATATTTTTCCAAGCCGTTTCCGCACTCCAGGATCAAGTAGAACATCTCTTTCAATTTTCCGGAGGTGAAAACTGGGGATAATCTCGCCCGTAATGGCCGCCATCTTTCGGCCTCCAGAAGGAAGAGATGCTGCCCCAATGGTTCCGGTTTTTCATAGAGCTTTACACCTCTGTCGGGGAAATTCGAGAAGTCCTTTATCAAGACGTCTTTCGTGAAGTCGAGGTCATTTACGATAAGGACCGGTTTCTTTTGGAAGAACATTCCGACAAATTGCTCGTTCTTGTACTTCTCACTGAGTTGGCGGACGTAAAGACCGATGGAAATTTTCGTCAACAATACATCCTTCACGTTGCCGAAGAAGGGGATCGGTTTTGGTCCCTTGATTCCACGGGTCTTCCAAAAGTCGAAATTTAAGACCATATAGTAGTAGATGAGCACCAAAATGGCGGCCACTCCGCAAAGAATCTCCAGAGTGCCCATTTTTAAGGTCGTGGCGTCACTGGAGATGACCCTGATAAAGTAAATTTGTTGTTAAAATTTTCATACAATTGATGGAATCAATACTTTAACCTAGAACTAACTTCTGTTTGACGTTGCTTATATAAAAATGTAATACTCTGATATCACCGACAGTGGTCGAGATTGTTTTGAATTAAAACTCAAGAAGGGACCGAGTATATATAGTTTACGGAAGCTTGTTATTGCGGATTTTAATAACAGATGTTTCGAGTGAAATTATTGTCGTATTATATAAGTAATATCAGTGTTATTAAGTTTATTATAAATGATAACAGCTGCTTTAATGCAATTCTTGAGAAACTCGGTGTTATTAATCGTCAACACCGTTTGCACGCACTTTAAATAATGACAAGTAGTTTGTTATAGATCTCGGAAGCGTGAATGTTAACAACGGCGCAGTAGCTGCCAGAATAAATTTTCATTGACTGTGCTGAATCACATTTGACATGCCTCGGAGCATGTCGCTAATAATATCCAGCAGAAATTACGCAATCGCAATTTTCAGTAATCAGTGTAATATTCTCACTGACAAACCTGACTCCACTCAACCGATGGAATAATCTTTGACGAAATAGGCGTTGTAATTTCAAAAAGGGTTTTTAATGAGAGCAAGACTGGCAAGTTACATATGCCATTCTTGTACGTTAACCGATATGAATTATCAATGCTGATAAGTATCATCGATTAAGCACCAGAATGGGAAATGGGGAATATCTGTGATGCTGATTGATTCGTAAAGGAGAGTTGCGTCAAGTTCAAATGATGTAAAAATTACATAAACAGTAATTTTGCTTAATTTATGTATTGCGGTTATAAAAATGCCCCCCAACAAAAAATTAAAAAGAGCGGGCCAACTGTGCTCCGAAATTGGCAAAACTTTAGCCGAATCTCGGCAATCAATGTCATTCCAATCTTGAAATGAGATGAGACTATATACTAGAAATATCGACAAATTATGAAATCTAAATTATTCATTTATACAATACGCCATTGAGGACGCGTCTACATTTTTCGTACAATACCTTTAAATATTATCAATCGCTACAATAGTATGTCACACCTATCACTTTATAATACAAATCATCGTGCTGTAATACAATTTATTTACACATATATTAAAATCACCTAGGAAGAACGTGTCTGTTTAAAAAATCACTGTCACGTCGAGATGGTGAAAATTCTTTCACTAGTTTTTATGGCCTACTATCTGCGATAAGACTAAATAAGGAATTCTCAAATATACATTAATCTTTACAAATCTCAACGCGGAAAATTGCCGACTTCATTTGAGCACACTTTGGACTTCAATGTCACACATTACGTCAATTGGCATTCAAATGTCTAAACATCTTAATTATATCACCGAGCCAGTATGACGATCGTCGTGTCGGGCCTTATATTCTATTTATTCTAAAGCGCATTTCTACCTAATCATATAAATTACAACTAATAACAATAACATCAGTCAATCTTAGATATCTTAAGGTGAATTCCGCTTTTCGGAGCGAGCAGGAAAGCAGCAGGCTCGATTTTGTACGGAATATCTGTCTTTTCTGAAACTTCTACGCGATGGTTCATTAGGATCTTGATGAGGCCCACTTTAGTCTGATAAATGGCGAAACGAGACCCTAGAATTGAATTATAACATCGTTTCACATTACTCTCGTTAAGAGAAATTCAGGAAATTACTCCGCCAACATTATTGAGCCTCAAAATGACGGATTTAGGATCTCTCGAAATATAGAGCGTTATCACGGTGTACAGATAATTCGACCGTACATTAGGAGGCTTGTAACAATTGGCGGAATAGGTGCGCAATCGGGAGATAAAAAAATTACCAATGCAATTCCTCGGCCCATCTCCGAAAGCCAAAAATGCCATCGGGTGTCTCTCGGCAACAGCTTCCGGGGTGAATCTCTCAGGATCGAATACATCCGGCTTGGGATAAATGTCTGGATCTCTCTGGATCGCCAAAGTCGATATCCAGACTTTCTGGTCTTTCGGAATCGAAAAGTCAGTACCCGCGAATGTATACTCGCACTGGGAATTCCGTGTTAGGAATGACACAGGTGGATACATCCGTAAAGTCTCTGTAAGGCAACGTGTCACTTTATACACACAGCTGTACACTTAATTGCGCAACTAAATATGCAACATGTAAGAACCACTTAATGGATTCGTTTAATTTTTCTCTACCATTTAAGCGTGCGTGAGAAAATATGCGACCCACTCTAACACAGGAAACACATTTTCACAGTTTTTTTTTAACTGAAAAATTCTGCAATATCCATTATGCAGATTCTTTCAGGACGAAGCGAGCTCGATAATAATATTTCTCATCGTCTAAAACCGTTTTAGATAATCTGTTTTAAATACTGGCGGAATTGCGCAACATTGTATATGAAACTGACAAGTGGTAAGAGATTGAAAATGTCTGTAATCTTAAATGTTTGCCTTGCGTTATCTGAATGGGGCGATAAAATGCGATCGAGAGCACGAGGAAACTTTTGTTAATATGAATTTACCTTTGAAAACCATATCGAGGTAGGACATTTTTTTGATGCCTTCGTAAGTTAGAACGCCGTCGTTCTTTTTGAGTTCGTCTCTGATTTCCGCCCGCAATCTGTCTTGAATCGTCTGATTCATGGCCAGTTCGTAAAGGGCATTGCTCATGGTCGTTGACGAGGTCTCAAACCCGGCAATAAAGAAAACAAAGACTTGGGCGGTCAACAAAGTGTCAGTCAGCTCTGAAATTGAAAATTGACGTCAGTCCGATTTGCTTATAAATTCCAAGTAGTCAGAAATTGCGCTCAGGAAGAAAAATAAGCGAGAAGGCCGCTCGAAATTGAGCGCTTCTATCGCCATTTTTTCCCCGAGCTTTGGAGCGTCCTTCGAGGTCGAATCATATGAGAAATTTAGCAGGACATCAAAAGTGTCGTATTAATACTTCCATGAAGAATTTTCCGAAATTCGATCCCGAAGTGGCGCCCTGAAGAATATCGAAAAATCCACCCACTGATATCGCCGACTTTTTCGGGGTGCTCCTTAAGCTCCATCAATAAATCTATGAAGTCCTTCCTAACGATGTTATTTTCTTTCCTATACTTCATGGTTTCCGTGACGGAGTTTATGAAAAATGTGGCGACCTTCTTGTTGAATATGAAAGGCCCGATAGTACTGTATAGCCAAGGCAGGCTGTCCCTCATCCTGTTCCTCAGGATCGTCCCCAGGTCGACCATGAAGATCTTCTTTCCCATTATGCGAAATTCGCTGTCCTCCTCGGACATGGAGCTCAGGTTGAGTCCGAAGGCGCAAGTACCGATGACGTCAGTGGTGAACCTGGCGGTCAGATCTCTGCACTCCACGACCTGATTTTTCTCGATCACCTGATCCAGATACTTCTGCAATTCCTCTCCGCATTCCAATACCAGATAGAACATCTCCCTCAGTTTCCCGGAAGTGAAGACCGGCGACAACTTTGTCCTTAAGGGCCGCCATCTTTTGGCTTCCAGGCTGAAGAGATGCGGTGAAAGCGGATCCACGTTCTCGTGGAACCTCAAGCCCCGTTCGGGGAAGATCGAAAAGTTCTTTATCAGGACGTCCTTCACCAAGTCGAGGTCTCTCAGCACCAAGATCGGCGTTTTTCTCAGAAAGATGCCGAAGAATCTTTCGTCCTTGTACTCGTGATAGTACTCTTTAACCATCGTGCCCACGAACTTCTGGGCCAGTATTACCTCCTTCGCGTTGCCAAACAAGATTTTCGGTTTGGGACCTTTAACTCCTCTTTTCTCCCAAAAATCGAACGTACAGGTCAGGTAGTAGTAGAATGCAAGAAAAATGGCGGCCAAGCCGCAGAGCACCTCCACGGGGCCCAAGCTGAGCATCGTGGCGTCACTGACGACCTTCCTAAGAATGCAAGGAAATAGTTTTAAACTTAACGTAACACCTCCCCAATCTTTTGAATTTTACTTCGTTCTACTTTTAAAAATAATTTCGCGATTCGGTCGATAATTAACCCGATACAATCAACTATCGCAGACGAAATTATCAGTCTCCTATACGATGTTCAAATGTTGACCAATGACGCGGCTTCGCAACAATGCGAAATTTTGTTTATGCAGAAAAAATTCGTATGCACTGGAGAATAAGAGCCTAGTTCTCAAATTTGACTTCCGAGCGATTAATGTCTTGAAACAAAAATCAACATCACACGATCAACTATCGCATGCGAAATTAACAGTCTTGTATACGATGTTCAAATGTTGACCGATGACGCGACTATGCAACAATAGGAATTTTTTTAATACAGAAAAAATTCGAATGCACTCGAGAATAAAAGCCTAGTTCTCAAATTTGACTTCCGAGCGAATAATGTCTTGAAACAGAAATTGACACTAGAAGTACCAAGACCAGTCAAAATGACTGGTTTCAAATGGCCCATCGTATACCAAAAAAAATCCGGCGATAGTTCTAGTATTAATGACAAGCGAGGAGTTTTTAATTAAGACGCTTCGATTAAATACGTTGTTTACACTTTTGATGGACGCACTTGTGATATGACGTTAACTGTCGATAAAATAGCTTGTGCTTCCCCAAGTTAGCAGGCTCGAGTCGGACGAGAAACTGAGCTGAGACGCGACCTGCCTCAGAAGCAATATATTTACCCGGATCCCCATCAAACTAACGACTGTCATGATGACTAGCAAGACCAGATTCTACCTCCGCGATACAACCACAACTCTGGCCCCTTCTCCTCCGAACGAGAAACCAGAAAATATTTGCGAGGAGCAGACACTGTATTCGTCGTGTAACGTAGGTGTTTTCTTCGTGTAGAATAGACACGTTGACAATGTTATCGATTAAAGATACACAATGTTGTTCGTCATATTTCCAGTACTGCTAACTCATACCGAGCTTCCATGCTGACATTTTAATCAATTTTTTTTGTCTGTACTTTGTCGGGCAAGATAGCGCAAATCGTATTTCCGGAGTTATCTTGTACCTCTAAAAACCGTCCGAACAGCTCACATCAGATCGTTAAATGTTTAGCCAAATGTTTCCCTGGCTGTTAAAATTTCCTCTGCATGTGTATATTGATCTGGGGGTTTTCATTAACGCGGGATTATTTTACAGGAAAGGAATACAAATATTCGGAAATTTCCAGCGTTAGTCGCAGTCATGGGCAGTTCACCCAGATAACTTCAGTTCGTAAACTAGAATGCAACGGTGAACCTGGAAGGGGAAAGAGTGGTTGAGGTCATCAGTCTTTGTCTGGTATTGGAATTCGTATTCGTAGATAGTTCAGATAATCCATTTTAATCCGATATGTTGTAACTTGTCAACGTCGTTGTTTCCTTAATGTGGTAGATATCTTTTAAGTAACGGCGTGGATGACGCAATGCGTAACGTCCAAATGTTTTTATAAATATTAATTCAGAACATGGTTCTACCGACATAAGTAGGATAAATTTTTGTGTCGTCAGTTCAGTTAATTGTTTCTGAGATGTCTAATGCCGTTAAGCAAAAACTTAATAATAAGCCTGCCTTCATTTTTCTTTAGAGCCTTTGCGTGATTAATTGACTTCCTCGTCAATCCTGGTCAATTATTCGTGACTCGTGGTGCCAGTGCAACTGACGAATAACGACCACGTTGCAATTGCAATTGCTACTAAGCAGTGCACAATAAATTGACCGTCTCGTTTATAAGTCAGAATTGATATTCGGATACGGACAAACGGGCGAACGTCAATGGTAAATAATTATCGGCCAATTTGGCAGGGCAATTGTAGCAGTATTGTTAATCACTTTTAATTCAAACAATTCTTATATAAATATAAAAGTGTGATTCGCAATGCAGTTCGTGATTGTACCACGGAAATTGCAGAACTGGTCGATGCCTTGCAGCAGCGCCTCCGGGACTTTGCGGCCAAACTGGGAAACACTTCGCCAGGCGGAAATCTGTTTTACCATTTGCGCTGACTTATCAATGAATTATAGCGAGGACAAGAGCCGGTTTGAAAGCGCCGTGTAAAGTGCCCATAGCCGAATTCAACTCGTTTTTGAGGTTATAGTTCACCGACTACGTGAAGACCTTGGTTTCTCCTTTTAATCAAAAAGCCACGTGATTCGATACTTTACAGAACGCAATTACCAACCACTCTAACCAAGATTTATTTATCAATTCTTTCTCCCTACATTCACAATAAAATATTAATCTCGTAATTTTAGCATCGCGGTAAGATATTCTTTAAGCACGTAATTAATCGTCTGAGTGGTATCTGCATTGAACGGTACATCCCTTGACGTAACGTAATGAATCAAAATTGATAAGAAATAAATAAAATAAATAAAACAAAGCGTATAATTTCCGTTTGCGATTTACTGCAAACTACCGCGTCGATACCAGAGGGCTACGAACCAGTGCCGGCTTCAGCCGAGTGGTTCGTAAAGTAATCAATCAATATTGATAAGAAATAAATAAAATAAATAATACAAAGAGTATAATTTCTTTAAGCACGTAATTAATCGTCTGAGTGGTATCTGCATTGAACGGTACATCCCTTGACGTAACGTAATGAATCAAAATTGATAAGAAATAAATAAAATAAATAATACAAAGAGTATAATTTCCGTTTGCGATTTATTGCAAACTACCGCGTCGAAACCAGAGGGCTACGAACCGACGTCGACTCCAGGCGAGTGGTGGGGGAACCGGTGCGCTCTGATTGGTGGGCGGGGTCTAAACCTGCGCGCTGATTGGCTGACCGTTGGCGCGACGAGCAGCGAGCTCGGGTCGATGATATAAAGGTGTGCGGGGCGAAACGCGGGCAGTTTGGATTCAGGCCTCGAAGAGGAAGCGTCGTCGAGCCCGGCCCGAGCCCCGCCAGCCGCTGCATCGTATAAACAAAGGGTCGCCATCGAGTCACTGCCGACCTCGAAGTTCTCGAACAGTCTCCGGTGAACGTTACCAAGAAGATACTTTTCCAACATTGTGAAAAATTCATTACTGCCGCTCCCGAAACTCAAGACGTGGCAACATCGACGGACCGTACGGAGCGAGCGGCGTCGTCCGTCTGCACGTGAAATAGGGACATCGCGGATATAAATAACCTCAAACTCGCCGGGCAGCTTTCCCGGTCGGTAATATCCGCTTCTCTCGTCGCTAGAGAGGGAAATCCGCGAAACGAAAAAGTGGATATTAAATAAAGGCGAGACTCGGTACGGCCGAGGAAGCCTTGACCGGCGATTGGGAGAGGTAGAACGAGAGTGTAAGGTGTCGTTTCTCTGGAAAGCGATCCGATTCCAGGATACGGTTCGATTACAGGACCCGTGGGTGACTATGTAAGCACTCCAGGGGGCAGGAAAGGAACTTATTCGAGGGACCTTAAATCCGACCTGCGAAGACCCGAGAGCCCACCGAGGCGAAAGTCTCCCGTGTGTTTGTTGGACGGGCAGCCGGAAACCCGCAAACTGGCTCCGGAAGTGAGGATCAAGCAAATTGGAATGAGGGAGGATCTGTTGTCCATCATACGGCACACGAGCAGCGACCACTTCTCCGAAGGACTCTAGCCCAAGAGGGAGACCGAGTCCGGAAAGAGCTGTGATATAGTCTCCGTACCAACGGGGCACCATATTTGAGGATCGGTGGAGGGCTCATAGCGGCCAGGGTTGCCTTTACTCTGAGTAATTCCTTTGTACGAGGACGCCCGACGGACTACCGACGCCGGAATTAGGCTCAAGGAGGTTCCCTCGTATCTGCAGTCTGTGAAGGTCCTTTGGGGCACTGGATCCTGGTAGGCTCCGACCTTAAGGGCGTCCCGCTCCGGGGTTCCGAGTCCGTGGATCTGGTATGCCCTGGGTGGCAGCCTGTCTGGATCTTCTGGCTGGACCCGTCCTGGGATACTGTCTCGCTGTCCGGAAGCTTGCTCTTCAGACCGGCTTGCTCCAGGAGCCGGCTGTTGTCGCACACCCCGAAAAACCGAAGGAAGTCGTCAAGGCTAAGTGTATCGGCGATATCATGGCCCCTTGCACCGAGGAGAAGCTTCAAGGTCAGTCATCCTTTTGGGAGCTTGGACCAGATCCTCCACCTTTCCTATCCCAGATAGATAGGTTTACTTTGTATGGACTTTATATGAACTTTACATTGACTTCGTATCACGGCTTTGCGTACTTACTGTAATCATCATGCATATGCATATTCACGGACCTCATGTTTTCTCACATATCTTATGATATGTGTAATCTCGTGAGACCTCATTAGGTGGGATATGAATGTAGCTCGAATTTAAACTTACGTATGAGAGCATACATCTTCACCACCCAGTGATATGGTGCAGGATATGATGCCCTATGTCTGAATCAATCGCGTACAGATGATCGGGACTGTCTATCTGGGATTGTCCTCCATTTTCGGGGATATCACTTTGTCACAAACGCAATGTGATATCCCCCGTTACCACGAATCTGGAACCTTAAACCGCCCTAACAGCATGGGGTTTTCCCAGAACACTTCCCAGGTTGTAACCCTATGGGAACGTGGTGTGAACGTTTGGGGTTCGTCTTTTCCAATTGTTCTCGACAAATACCGTTTTGCCATAGTAAAGATTAGCTTAAACCCCCCACCTGCACACTTGGAATAAGGATCAATTGTTAGCACAGGGAAACCATGACTTTCCTCGAGTCAGGTGATAACAGCGCACGATAGTCCTGGGTTGCATTTTTTGTTAACGGTGAAAATCATGAAATTTCTCGCGACATGTATAAAAAAAAAATACCGCATCATACTTGCGGTTTGCAATTTTAGCCGTGTACCGAAAATATTATACAGGTCGAAGAAGGTCGTTTGTGACGTCCGTGCTCAAAAACTTTTGGCTTGGTCGATCGATAACACAAGTAGTCGACGGACCTCTCGAGAGAGCTATTGTTTCAACGACAAAAATTGCATCCTCACCTGCCTAAAGAGATGATATCTTTTGTCAGGGCCCACAATGCGAAAAGTGCTTCGCAGAACTCGGCGATGATCAATTAGCGAGATTACAGTCGATATCGTTCGGCTTATCGGAATTCGTGCGGATTTCTGATAACGCTGGATGCTCGCAAACGGCTTAATGACCTCTTTTTACCTCGATACGTTTATTCATAATGTTAAATATGGAAGAAAAATGTATTTTGTTATCGAGCGACAATGTCGCCAATGCAACTCTCGTGGCTTGGGGGGGACATTCTTGAACGATGTGGATTACTTTATATTACCGGTCAATTACATCGGGAGGGTGATATCGCGAATCAGGAGCCCATCGTCGATCATTCTGTTATGAGTCCTCGGATGAGATTGGTCGAATTATAAACGGTTAGGGTGTTCCTATCGAGTGGTCACTGCCTATCTCAAAGTATTGCGAGATCGCACGTGGATTACGTAGTCATTTCCACTTGATAGCGTTAAGCTCGATGGCCTTGGACTGATCTAGACAAATTCCAGACGGCGAAGTATCAGCTAAGAGTCTTACTGAAACTTATCAAATGATTCGGCCAAACGCCCGTTTTTTATCTACAAGCCAAATGCCACTCTTGGGTGGGATCTAATTAGCTTGAGCAATCGAGCGAAATGTCGTAAAATTTATTTATGAACGCTGGAGTCGCGATAAGAGAGTGGTAGTTCGGTTAGAATGAGAGAAAGGGAAAAAAAAAAGAAAAAAAAAACAGTTTAACCGAGTCGAAGACCCTGCCGGGATTTGAACCCGGTCTCGTTGGAGATATCTTACTTAATGATAACCGTAAGCATAATAAAAACTAATCAATTTATAATGATCGGCTAGTTTATCAGCTGGTTTTTATCCTTATGCTTATGCACCTAAGTGTGTATATTTGGCGCGCAACTCTACCGAAGAGTAAAAGTGGCGAAAGTGTTCTATTCAGTGTCTAATGACTTTTCTCGATAAACCTTGTACACTAAGCAGGAGTAAATTTTCGTTGAAAGTTCTTAATCATAGTTCGTTCGCATGTGGATTTACGTTTAACTCCGCGGAGGAGGAATGCATCTCTACTTTAGTCCGTGGGAAATAAAATCTATTCGTTGGAATGAATGTATATTTCCATTCCGTTTCTTTCGAGTCTCTTCAACGGGGAGTCAAAGAGATCCGCGGAAGCCGAGTTTCGAAAAGTCAGGGACACCGAAGTTAGGCGGTGTGTTTCGGGATTGGTCGGGGTTCTGCACTTTGACCAGTTAACGTTTATTTCTCGTGCAAGGTTATCGTCAGGCGTCAGCTGCCATCTGGCATTTGCGGCGAGTCAAAATGTCGGGAGTGGGCTCGCGATTAGCATACACACGTGCGCGAGGTGGAGTCGTCGCCACTGAGTAAACAAACCTGTCGCAACATCCTCCGGCTCGCATATGTGTCGAGTAATTTTTAGTCAGCTGGTAGTCGTGCCCCCAGCTGAGCCAATCGAATCGCCGAATTCTGTCGGCGTGGCCCACGCTCTTTGGTTCGCATTTAGACCCGCCCGAGTTAGCTCTGCCAAAGTAAATAATAATAAAAAAAAAAAGGAGAGTATAAATAAAAGCCATCAGCGCATCACTCGCTAGTCCATTTTAGCGTTTCCCTCGAAATGTCATTTTTTTTTTTCTAGGGGATATTGCTCGAGCCGTTTTCGGAAATCGTTTTCACAGATTTCTCCGGAACACAATGGACGTCGGGATATCCCAATCCCTTGGTACACAAAGTCTGTTGTCTTTCCCGAGGATCTCTTTGTTAAAGTCTCACATCGGTAGCTCATTAGCCGCGGGTAAACACGTCTTAAGATCTCCAATTCATTTGTACCAGGCAATTAATGCTCTGCTGAGAATACACACGAGCCTCCGCGTTGCAGAGGCGCCATTTTGGCTCCTGTAATTGCGGCACTGTTTATAAATTCATTGAACTCGTCACCCTGCCCCGTGCATGTACATATGCACGTGGATGTATACATCTTATCCAAATATAAGGGAATCTTATGCATACGCGCTTTCTTCATTTCATTAATTATCATTAATTACCGTTATTATCGGGTTCACGATTGCCGCCTTCCTTACGGTCCTCTTTGTTAACGTGGTGTAAACAGAGCACTATTTATCACGTTTAACTCGTATCAAATGTGCAGGAATCAGCTGAAAATATCATATCGAGCCTCCAAGCTGAGCCAATCGGGCTGCAGCGCCGCCATTTTGGTTCATGGTTCTTTTTCTTTTTTTCTTCTTTTAAACACACCAATCGATAATATTCGATGTGCACGGGATATTCAAATGAAGAGTAGCTTCGATCGAGTCGATTCCTTTATTATTCAGTGGTCGTTCGTTTTTAATGCACTGGTTGCAAGGAAAAACGTCCAATTGCCCCGAAATTGGATTAAATTAGCGCCTCGTATTTGAAGGTCACCTCTATGGCGAAAATCTCGCAGTTTAGAGATGACGGTCAAGTGGCAATTGTTTAATATACAAATTGTCAAGCTGTTGGGTCTCTCAAGGATTTTCTTATTAACACGGTGTAATGAGGATTTAACTTTGCCTGACTCTTAACACTCAGTTGTTAGCTGGGAATGCAGCCGAGCCCCCAACTGAGCCAATCAGGCCACATATCACCATTCTAACCTAGAATTCCGATACCGTTTATAAACCCACTAGAAGCTGTGTGCCACGTTTAGATATCGGAGGACCTTGAACAAAATCAGCTTCTCTCGGCGATGTATACACTCTTGATTAAACCCGACATTTCGCTACGGAGCATCTGGGGCCCATTTATTTTACAATTAACATCGAATTGTTAATTTTCTTAATGTCGAAACAAACATTTAGCAGTAAAGGGACTTGATGTCACATCCGAGAGGCAGATTCTTTTTTTTTTCCCCGGTGAAATGAAATTAATAAATAGGTCGCTTTACTGCAAAAACGAGATCAAGTGTGACGTAACATGTTGGTCTGCTTGCGAAGGCAGAAAGTACGGTAATAATTGTTGCTAATTGCGCCTTGCATGTGCTCGTTAACATAAATCAATGATTTCCGAGAACCGTTGGGAAACGTTCCCCTTGTCCCTATAGGTCACCGCCATTTTGAAAATGCAACTTTCAATCGCAATCTCCCAACTCAAGGTGGATTATGAAACCTCAGGGTCGATTGAGCAAGCTTATTATTTATTAGTTTATTTATCAGTGGTTTATCCATCCAATTAATCATTGCCATTTCACTACTGAATTCACTTTACACACGCAATCTGGTTGCTGACACGACTTATTCATTTATTCAACTGCTTAACTTTTTACCCGCCGTTACGTTATAGGTAAACTCGATGTTCGATTCCATGGTTTTCCGCATTTTCTAAGCTGTACCGTCTGCAGTGTCCCACGCAATTTAATTACAGCATTCCCGGGAAGAATTGAGGTACACGAAAGGACTTTGAAACTCCTCGCCGAGGAGGAAATCCCACCTGAGTTTGATTACATGCATTTTAAGGTTTTCCTTTAACTTGATGCTTTGTCACTAAAGCAACGGGCGGATTATTTGTTATCGATGGTCCATCTGAAATTTATATTTACGGGTTTGCTTAGCCTGCTGTTAATAAAGGTCAGTTCTTCGCGCGGCCGCCATTTTGTTTCGATTTGGAGAACGGCGTCCTTCCGGATGACGCGCACCATGGATTGCGTTAATGGCGGCGGTTCCATGAACTATCTCGAGTGGAATTACTTTAATGGAGGTCTAACTTCTTACCGGTTGCAGAGGGTGGGAGATTTTTCAACAGATCACGGGATTTTCACGGGAATAATGGCCGGTTTCCGGCGTGGAGAGTAGTCGGGTCCAGTGCTGCGACTCGAGATCAACTGACTGTGTGCTCGTTCTCGGTTTAACGGCGCTCTTGGTGGTGGCAGAGACTTAATTCCAGGTTCTGATTGGTGGTCTTCGGACCTGCTAACACATCCGTACAGTTACATCAGCGAGAGGCAACACGGCGATCGAGACTTACGAGACAATCCATTTTTTTCTCCCTCTGGTGAGACCATCGCGAACTACGAGGCCTTGAAATCGTCAAATCGTAATTTTTAACGTTATACCTCGGGTTTATTTTTTTTAATCACCGCGGAATATTCGATGAGGCTTATTCGAGGGTCCTATCTACTTTAATAAATTGCCTCTTCGATGCCTTCACCGGGAGAAGTTGAATTTCAAGTTCTGTCGGACCCGTTGAAGAGATCGCGGTGTTGCGTCAGCAATTTCCTATCTCTCTCTCTCATTCTCTTGTTTCCGACACGGCTCGACCGATCCAGGCGAGCCCTCGTCGTATTAACCAAACTCATTCAATATTTTCTGCACCGGAAGGTCGTCGCTAAAAACTCCTTTCACAGATAGCCGTTTCTGCCGGTTTCTCTAACGAATAGGAATCTCGAGGTCCCGGATAAGAATCGTTATTTCGTGCCCAGAGGTCGATCGAATGCAATTCATCGAACGACGTCCGGGGTTATCGTGGAATGTTCGTTTCTTCTGTTACGGTTGATAATTCAATTTCCGCTGGTCGAGGCGTTAGCTTCACTACTGTAAATGTTTCTTTTGTTTTTCAAAATAGGAGAACAATGCCTCATTGATCGTTCTTCCTTTCGATATCGAGAAACGTCCATCGATCACTTTTCATTGACGTTCGCAGAGTCTCGTGTTAGCGAGTTGTTACGCATGAAAGCGAGTCGTCATTTCCGGCGGAATTTCCTTCTTGGAGTTTGGTATTATTTTACCTGGTCGCACGGGAATTAATATCAAAGCTTGTCATTTTCAAAACTGCAGAGTTCTTAATCGTTTCAGACTTTGCAACGTTTATTTGGAGGCTTTAAGGAAGGTTCTGACCCGTGAAATTTCGTGTTTTGTAGAAAATTTAAAAAGACGTATATAAACAAATTTTACAAAAAATGAAATTGCATAGGTGTCAGAACCATCCATATACCCTCCATATTCGCGTTGTAAAGTTTGAAATGATTCGGTACACCCAATTCGGAGAAAGGTTTCATAAACGTGACCTCTTCGACGCCACTTTCACGTCGCCTTAATTTAACCTTCTTCCTTCCGCGCCGCCATCTTGAAATCTTGAAAAATGCTTATCTTCCTCCCTCAGTACTGCTCGTAATTTATTGGACAGTTGGTAAAACCTGTAAAAGAAATTATTCTATACCAAAGGGACTTTAGATCTACTAAGCTGGTAAATAAACAAATAAATAAACGCGCTGCTGTCTTGTACAGTCTAAAAGTATTGTCCTAAAATACACGATTATCTAGCTTGATGTTCCTTTTGGTTCGTGACCACTCGCGAACCAATCTTGGCACCGTCATCTCGTTCCTGTAATATTTCTCGGCCGAAATCCGATAGTTCGCGGAGTCGTATCTTCCTGAAAGTTCATTCGGGGCGATGGGATCAGAGATCAATCACGAGATAGTGGCGACATCGCCGGTGAACTTTGGAACCGTCCTCGAAATTGGAGCCAACGCGTCCCGACGTATAGAGCTCGCGGTTCCCGACGAAAACACGTAATTCTCCTTGAAGGGCCTTCAAAATCTGCATAGATGTTAACGCTATCAAATCCTATACGACAAATAAATGAAAAAACCTTCGATTGTCTCCCGAACGCCTCGCGACTTCCGTCGTAGCAAAAATTCGACATAGATGAATTGTCCAGAATATAGTTCATACGTGCGACTAAATTTTTTTTCCCCTAAATATATTCCTTGTACAATGACTATCGTGCAAATGAAATAGCGCCTTAAGTCCCCACCTACGTGCGAACTTTACTCCCGTGGAAGTCTTTGGCAAGCGTCGCCAATTGTGGAGCCGCCTTTAGGCCAGAGCCAAAATACGACACTAAAGCCAAACCTAAAGGTCATCGGCGGTTTCTAACGAGGTTCAGTTCACTGCAGGCGATCGGATCGCTCGCACATGTCTACCAGGCTTTATTTATAAACGCATAAACGCGCATTTTCGAAGAAATCCTTGTTCCGGATCTAGGTTTAAATCGTCATGTGTGTCATCGGTAAGCGTAGGCTCCTTAGAACGTTTTCTTTTGTGTAACTTTTCGTCATATCTCAAGGCACTTTCAATTTCCCTCCGAGAATGTACATTCTCGATGTTTACATTTCCACAACTGGGAGAAATTTTCTTGCGGAGGCTTAAACCGCCGGTGTAAACCTAATTGTCCTCTTTCCGCATATTAAGGCATCCAAGATGGCGGCTTGTTTTCGACCCATTTGTTCCTTCGATTCTTTTTCCTTAGCAACATTGTGCTAATTTTAAACTTCTTCGTCAGCCTGCAGTACTGTAGCAGTGGCTTAAGTATGTATACATGGAGTACCAAGTGTGCTGCCGAAATCCCTGAATATGCATAGTGGTCATATACAAATCGATGAATATATACGTCGCATTAGGGTAAAGAGATACCCTTTCGCTTTTCCACGCGTTAATGAGTGGGTAGATAACGATAATATGCCTTCGCATCTTTGCTTTCCCCGAAGGATGGAAATCATTATTTTCTTCGATACATTGGGCAACCGCCATATTGGTTTCTCCTCTTATCGCTCGTTATATAAGTATTCCCTAGTAATTCACGTATGCACATGGGCTACGATTATTCGGTATCGCGTGTTATCGGGAAATAAGTGATCGCATGTACTACTTAATGTTTGTCAACAGATATACGTGATTTCCGAACGACTGATGTGTTTTCGGCACGTGGACATTTATGTTGACCGCTGGCAGAAGTTTCCATACTTCGTGACTGGTGAACTGCGATACGGGAAGTGTGACGGAGTTTCGTTCCAGAATGCGTTACGAAACTATTCAACGGCGTTTAAAGGAGTGGGAAACGCTTTCGAAAGCCTCCGATCAGAATTTCTGGCGGCCGAGCCTCCGGATCGATCGGCAATGGCTGGCGTCCCTGCAGTTCGTGACGTCGGATGTTAAATGCAGCATTAAAACCGCTAGAGGAAGATAAAAATAGGGGGGGAAGAAGAAAAAAACAAGACCTCCGTGAACCGTTATTATTTCAACATTTCCCGATTAGGAGACTATTTTGCAATGGCCCAGCTAACTGTTTACCGAAGACGCCAAGGACTCTGATCGATTGGAAGCTCTTCTACTTCCTTAATTTATGTAATTGTGCATGTAACGTAAATCTGCGGATCGATCGGAGTTCGATACCCAGCGAGAGTTACCTTCTCTTAACTCGAAACGAGTTCACCGTTCCGGCTCGATTAATCGAACAATCGCCGTTATCGCCACCGACGAAAATAGCGAGGGTCGCAGTCGGCAGGCGACAGTTACTTGCATTCCTTTTACAATTATCTCGCTCATGATTATCATAATATATTCGAGACACGTTCGGTTAACCACTAGTTGCCTCGTTTTGTGCGACAATTTACGGAAATTTGGGGAAAAATCACCATTTCCAGCGTCATGTGCGGTGGGCTGCAAGAACCAAGATGGCGGCCGCGTTCGAAATTAGCAACGCGATATCGAAACGCCTGAAGAGGCGATTTCTCGCGTTTGTTTAGCTGGCGCTCTGACGACAGCATTTGCTGACACTGATGTAGCCTCTCTTGGTTATCAGTGTTAATGACATTTCGCGAAATTCTCGCGGAATATCGACTGGCTATCGCGGCAATTGTATTTCGTCATCCTGCTTGCGTAGCGAAAATTTCCGCGAAGCCAGCCTCTCATGGACTGATTAATAGATTCGCATGGTGCGGTATTTAATCCCATGTCTTTTATCTTCATCTTTCAGAAGCCACGCAAGAGATGCCGGTGAGAGCACCCGGGCTTACCAAATCGCCCCGGAAGTTCGCCGGGGTGGTCGTCGCGACTTGCGGACTTCCGGCCCGCGGGAAGAGCCAGGTCGCCCAAAGTCTTGCTCGCCGGCTCAACTGGAGCGGTAAATCCTCCAAAGGTGAGCAAAAACCATCATTAATATTATTAATAACGCAAACGCAATAACGCAAAAAGCATTAAACCTAAGCTAGGTCGGCCAGGTGACACGATTCGTTCTTGTGCCTGCGATTATCTACTGATTGCCGATACTTCGCAGGCGCATGCGCGATACCCTCGATGGAATTACGTTTAAATCCAGTCGATATCTGCGATAAGGCGGATTATCAACGGACGATGGATCGTGCAATGGCAGGAGACCGAGCGTTATCGCATCTGCGATGGGAATCGGCTTAAGAAGGTGTAGGGCGGTTGAAGAGGTTAGGTATACGAGCTTATGAACGGACTCGATGTAATTACAATGCCTGACAGATTACCGAGAGTAATTATAATAAACAGTCGGTTACGCAAAAGCATTGACCGAGTGTTATCGCATCTACGCGACTATTGACTCTTAATAGTATCAAGCACTGGACGAGGTTAGGTACACTTGGTACAGCTAGACTCGGTGTAATTGTTACCGCTAACAGATTATCGGATGTAATTGCGACGTACGGGAGATTACGCAATGGGTGGTATCGCACCTGCGCAAATATCGACGTAAGAAAGTATTGAGTAGCAGACGAGAAACGAGAGATACGTTTGGGACGTTTCGACGTGGTGCGTTCCCACGGGACGTTAACGAGGTTAGGTTGCCACGACGGCAGAAATGAGAAACCCTGACTGAACAATTTTAAACGATATCAGCCCGAATCAAGATATAACATCGCTAAATCACAGAGTATATTGTCCATTTCACGGAGCGCCGTCAAATTCTTCCATCTACATTCCTTCTTAGCACTCGTCGCGCCGCCATCTTGATTCCATGCGTGCAGACGCAGAAAATCTCGGTTTAAGATTTAAAGAGTGTCATCCCTTAGCGTTTGTTTCCTGACATGTTGATTCTGAACGTTAGTTTTAATGTCACTCGAAAATATGGTTCACGTCCCGTGGGATGATACCTCGGATAAAGCGTGTAAAGAGCGTTTCAACAATTAGGGTCTGTACACGTGACGCGTTGTTGCGCCATATTGCTTCCACGCGCGTTTTTACGAGCGACATGGCTGTGGCATTGCGTGAACGCGCGGAACGTTCGTAAATGCGGAATGCGAACACGCCCTTAACGGTGGGCATCGCAAATTGGGGTGAGTGACGAACTTTCGTTTCTGTGTTTCAGTGATGAGAGTGAGCGACTACCGGAGGAAGAGGCTGGAGCTTTACGCCTCCCACGAGCTCTTCCGGCCGGACCACGTGGCGAACTCCACCCTGAGGGCCCTTGCTCAAAGGGACGCGATGCACGACTGCGCCTCGTGGCTTGCTTCCGGGAATTCAGTTGCTGTAAGCATAAGATCGGTAAAAAGGGGAGAGAACGGCTGATAAGGTGCCCGAGATGGCCCGTCTTCCCGGGGGGTCCAGGGCCCCAGTTAGCGTTCACGTCCGGTGTCGGAGTCTCGTCCCGAGGAGGTCCACCGAACCCCCGATATATATCGACTTCGCTCCTCTGTCACAAGAAACTAGGAAAAGGGTTACGCCTTGGGTAACCATTTTCCCATTGTTCCCGCTCTAGGACCGGCATGACCCGGTCCGATGATCGGTGAACAAAGTCCCTGTAACGAGTTTCACCAGTTCGGCCCTAAGGGCTCGATTTCCCCTCGACGGCCCCCAAGAAGTCCTGATTCCGGGTTCCCTATCTTCGTGATGTTCTCCTCTGGGACTTCAGTCGGGATGCTCCAGAGCGTCTCTCGAATCCCCGGTGATGATGCCCACTTCTTGGGGCTCGAACTTCTTGACTTCCCAACCGCGACACCTGGAGTGTGTCTTCCTTGAAGGGATTCTCTTTCTCTCTTATCGTTCTTCGTAGATGCTCTCCCGTTATCCGAATGCTCCCGGTGCCGGCCGATCCGTGGCCTTTTTTCTCTGCCGACTGTAGAAACTCGCTCCAGCCCCTTTGGGCAACCCGACCTAAAGGGAACGATTTTCCTTTGAAGATCCTGGACGCCACTCTGGTGACGCGCGAGCAACGCGCCGAGGTCTTCGATTATTTTTCCACCCAGCTCGGGTACCGCGTCCTCTTCATCGAGTGCGTATGCGACGACCACCTCGTCCTCGAGCGCAATTGCCAGGAGATCCTGCGCTTCAGTCCGGATTATGCCAACATGGACCCTGCCCTCGCCGCCGAGGATCTACGCTCCAAGATCGCCCACTACATCAGGGTGTACCAACCCATGGAGGAGGGGAATTATCCGATGATCCGCATGGACACCGCCACTGCGGAAATCAAGGCGCACAAAGTCAGCGGCCATATTGAAAACAGCGTTTTGGGATACATGCCCAGCGTCACCCTTAAGCCCCACACCCTCTACTTCTCTCGGGTAAATCTCCTTCTAATAATTAATATCTCATTGTTACGTAACGCGCGAGTTATATAAAAAATACGGAAGGTTCGCGGTGAGATTTAAAATCTGCTCAGTCAAAAGAAGATACGACGCGTAACGATAAATCTGAGCAAACCGATTTACACGGGTTTAACCGACAGGTGGATTTGGGTTAAGGCGTTACGAAAGTGCCCTGTAAGGAGGCTTCTTCGTGAAACTTTTCTCCGAACTGAGCGCAACGAATCGTTTGAACATCTCCCACGTGAATGTGGACCCATGGAATTTTTTTTTAACTGTTGGGAAGAATTTTAAAAAGTATCTCCTGGGATTCGGGACCTTCTTTAGGGTTCCTACATTCACGTGGTAAAATATTAAACGGATCGGTGAAGATAGTTTTGATCAGTTTCATAAACAAGATTTCTAGGGCGTCACTTTTGTATCGCTTTTACTGTGTGGCTTATGAATCGCTACGATTTATCGGTACGTGCGTAGTTTTGAGAATAATCAATTATTGGGGTCTTCTCGAGACCTTGTTGAGATCAATGGGCCGGTGTCTTGAATTCTAATGGTATCGTTTGTCCGCAGCATGGGGAGAGCGAGTACAACGTCATCGGCAAGGTAGGGGGCGACGCTGTTCTAAGTGCACGTGGAGAACGGTATGCTCAGGCCTTGGCGAATCGCATAAATGCAATGCGAATTCCTGATCTTCGGGTCCTGACCAGTCGTCTGAGGAGGACCATCGCAACTGCTAGAGGCGTCGAAGCTCCCCAGGAACACGTCGCCGCTTTGAACGAGCTCAACGCCGGCGTCTGCGAGGGCTTCACCTACGAAGAGATGCAAGAACATTTTCCTCAGGTTGAACCCTAGAACGTGGATATTAATATTTCTCGATATTAGCTATAGCTTAGCGTTGTCTAACCCTTGCGACATGTACCTTCCGTCGAAATGCTTCTACTGTACGAATACTCGATAACGAGTATTGCGCTATAGTATGGGCCGGTTAGTGATAAAGTTCCTCGCAGTCAGAAAAAGGAAGAGGTTCGACTGAAGGTGTAAATCGTTGCAAAATGGTAGATTTATTAGGCGATAGAGAGAGGGATTTTTTGTTATTTGGTATTGTTGAAGAAAGGCGATGGGGCAGGAGATGGCTAATCTAGGGATGTCGATTTCTAGGAGTTTGCTTGGAGGGACCAGGACAAGCTGCGGTATCGGTACCCCTGGGGAGAGAGCTATTTGGACACTATGCAACGCGTGGAGCCGGTAATTTCGGAACTGCAGCAATCCAACAACATTCTGGTGGTGTCCCACCAGGCTGTTCTGCGGTGCATCATCGGATTCTTCATGGACAAGACCCCGGAAGAGCTGCCCTACATGGAGGTCCCTCTGCACACGATAATCCGCATCACCAGCCAAGGCTTCGATTACAAGCTCGAGTTCATCAAACTGCCGATAGAGTGCGTCAACACTACCAGACTTAAGCCTACCAATTGCACCCCAAGCAGAACCGCCGATGACGCGCTTCTCACAGTGCCAACGCATTATGACATTCCCGACCCGTGGAGGAACCATGGAAATGGTCCCACCCTCGTACAGCAACACTAAAGAGGATTTGATTCTCGGAGGAAGGGAAAAAAACACAGGGAACGGAAACTCACGGGCAGGCGGCAAAAAAGTAGTTTCACGGAGTCTCGCATGCACCCAGGGGGGAAGCTTCTATTTCCGGCGTCGGGATCTCATGGGATTAGCAATTGACAAAACTGCCGGCAACTTTTGTCCACGAGGAAAGGTCCCCCTCCTCTTTTGACTCGCTATTTTTAATTCTCCCAATGATCGCCGCTCTAGAGCTCGGGATTTCGACGTCGGTTGTTTCTCGGCCATCTTGGAGAACGGCCAGCTGGATCGGGCGATCCGACTGTCAATCTATTTTTGCACCGCGCCGGGTTATTGGGTTCTTATGTAAGTAGAATCGGCAATCAATTAGTGAGAAGTCTTGATTGGAAAAAGATCATGCTCTTCGGCCATCTTGGAGAACGACAGAAATTAATGGTGGAATTCGGTCTAGCGCCGCGCGGGATTCTTGGGGTTCTGTAGGCTCGAAATTCAATGTAATCTCTTCCGATTGGCTGTGGAAAAACTTTGAAAAGATGGAAGATAACCACTTTCAGTGGAATTAGAGGCGATGTATTCTCTTTTTGAGGAAAGCACTCTTCCACGTAGCAGCATAGGTGCCCACTGCTAGAGCCCTCTACGGATTTTTCAGTATATGGTACTTATAGGTCTAAGCTCTTAACATGTAACTTAATCTTCGCGTAGAGTAATATCATATTTTCATATGAAGAGCCTAACAGTAGATAATTAGAGCATCCCCTTTTCTCCGGAAACGGTGGATTGAATTTAACCCTAAGTTAGACTTCGTAAGCTCTGGAAGAAGAAGAGGAGATTGCGGTAGTGGTATCTGGATTATAATTCTCATTCTAACTAAACGTCTATGTTACAACTGATATTCAACATTCGACACTCAAAATGATGAATTTTATCCCATGACTCTTCTATGTATTGGGACGTGGCGTTCTGTTTTACCGACCGATTATCGTAATGTCAATGTCAACGCTCAAAAAGAAGGGTGGAAGCCTCTCGTGAGGTCTCGTCTCATTGGTCGAGTGAGAAAATCATTTTGTCCAATTTGGCGCACTTTCATTTTCTCACTCGGACGCCTTTCGTCTGTCCATTGTTCAGTGAAACGAGAACGTGCATTTCCTTCGCCGAACAACTCGTTATTAATTTTACCGATTAGACTTAAGGCTGTTGAATCGCGATAACGTGCATAATAAAACACTAGGCTAGACGCGTCCCAAAGAGTGCAATGGTTGTCTTTTTCTCCCTTTGTCGCCAGGGACGCGTTTGCAGAAATTAGTCGATGGGACTTCCGTTAGGTTAGTTTTAGCGCGGCCATCTTTAGGTCCGTCGCCAAGCACAGAGAAATTGCCACCTGGTCGCATGTATGCACTCGTAGGTTAGGTTACCGCTTACGAGACTTTGTCATTAAGTCATATAGATTGCGCACAGTGTTTGTTCATTTTTTATAATAAGCATGAATAAACGTTTTTTACAGACACGTATCATGCCGATGTGTCGTAGGATTACGCGGATGTGGAGGATTAAATACTATCGTTCAGTTTTTGAGCATCATCTTGGTTGAGCACCGCGTTCGGCTAAAAATGGCGGAATGACGCAACGACTTTAGAATCGATGACCTCGATGCGATCTTTTGACTCGAGCGAGCGAAGAACCGATCGCTCGGTCCCTTTACTTCATCTCGAAAAGTCAAGAGGTAATTCCTAGGTGCTAGGAGGAATATTTATACACCTCGACCGGAGCTCTAAGGTCGCAAATTATGTCTATATCACCGCGAATCGGTCGACAAACAACGCGAAAAATTCTTGGGTCCATCATGCTTGGGTCGACCTCGCATATGTCGAATCGTTCGCATAATTGGCGAATAGTTTGAGGATATCAAGTCAGGTGGCGCTGGGAATAATTGTCTTTCGAATCACTGAAATCCATAGCCATACGATAAAGAGATTAATAACCGTCATTCGGTTTAATTGCACAGGTATAAACGGATATTTCCAGAAATCCAGATCTCTGCAGAAGGAAAAAAAAAAAAGAAACATTTTTATTCCAGCATTTTCGTTATCGCTTCTAAATCTGAAGTACGCATAGAGTTCGTTCAAGTTCGTTTCATTACCTCGTATGATGTTTATTCAAATTTCGCGGTTTTGCGGCACGGGTCACGTGGGTACTGGGCAGTGTTGCCGCGCTTCGAAAGTGGCGGGCCTTTCAAATCGCCAGGGGCGGGCGCGATCTCCTGGCAATAGGTACCGCCTATAAATAACCACCTCTATTAACCTCCCGGGCGAAATGAGACGCGAGAGGTCCCTTCGAATTGTCCGAAACGCAAAACGCGGCCACTGGAGAGCGTAAGGCGCCTCGGGTTGCAACGGCGGTTTCGAGGTTAACTTCTTTATTGTCCGCAGGGTTTAGCTGGGTTTCGTCGACTTAGTGCGCGTCGAGCCATCTCCCGGCGTGGACGCGGCGTGTTTCTAGTAGGGCGAACTCGCGATCGGTGGGCAACCCTTGTCGAGGCGGTGCATGCGCGCAACCCAACCTCGAAATGAACGAGAGCGACCTTCACCTTGCCAAGGCCATGGTCGGCCTCGGGCTCGAAGACGGGCCCAAGAAGACCCCCGTCTCTAGGATGCAAGACAAGCAACAGACCTTCAGGTAATCGTTGCATCCTTGACACTTGACGTCCCGAGAAGAGGGAGCGCTGCGACCGTTTACGCACGTTTACGCCAGGGGCGCTGTCGGCGCTCGATGCATCTTTAAGCGCCGTTTACGCGACGGATAACGTCGTAATGAACATTTTTAAGCCCTACTTATTGGATATTAAAGACTGATAGACGTCTTAGCACGTAGTTAGGGAAATAGAGCGCGGAATTGGGTAGTTTCGCCCCAAAAATAAGGAACTATTAATCCGCGTTAAATTCGGGTCTAATCGTAAAGCCTGCTCTATGGTTCCGCCTTTAACCATTAATTCCTTACAATAGTAGGGAATTCATAGGGAGCGTTTGTGTTAAAGGTTAGGGTTAAGATAAAAATAAACGCGCAAATGCCGCCTATGGATTCCTCGCAATAAACAATTAAGTTAGAGTCAAGACGGAAGCATAAACCAGGCTCCAAAGGGAAGAGATTGATGGGTGCAGATATTACGTTCATATTGAGGTTATTGTGATAGCCGGAAATTTTAATGGGGTTTAATTAGTAAAACGCTTTGGAGCTGGGTTATGAAGATTTAAATGCCACCTACAAATATCGGATTAATTAGTGTTGTGCAGTTGCGTCTAGAAGCTCTTTGATATTGTAGATTTTTTATTCTTTAATCTTTATTGGTCACTTGATTTATAGTTAGTGCGTTTCTTCGTTAATGTCACGGTCGAATGGTTAAGTAGGAAACTGCGAAGGTGGAATACTGGAATACTTGAACTCTGATCAAGTGCGATGGTGGTGTAATGGTCAGCATAGTTGCCTTCCAAGCAGTTGATCCGGGTTCGATTCCCGGCCATCGCACACGATTTTTTTTTCTCGTTGAATTAATTTCCCCCAAATTAGATTTCAGTTCTTTTAAATTGTTTTGCATTAAATTGTACAAATTAGGGTATTTATTAGTATATTTTCCTCGGTCAGGCAGCGGTACCGTTCGATATCTCACTTCCGTGTTCAGTCGGAACACACGTTAAATTGTATAAAAATAAATCGGCGTCAATTTTCTTACCTCTTTAGAAGATGATTACTTAGAGATTACTAACGCGATTAAATAAAAATTTCCAACAAATGTACCAGCGCCGTCGCTTAGAAAGTAAATTCGAGCGAATTGTTCAAGATTCGGGAGATGTGGGCCAAGGCTGGATTTTCTGGGCACTGTTTCGTATACTTGCAACAATGCTCTACTTTCGGACCTATAATTCCTTGACGGTGTGTGCGATATGTGCCAAATGTAGGGCATTCTATTTCATTGAACGTGACCCCGATTATCGGCTTCTCACATGACGCAGAGTACCTCAAAGATATCGACTTATTCGAAATGAAATACCTTAATACAACACTCGAACAATAAAGTAGAAATACAAAGAGAATGCGATAATCAGGTCTTCCAACTTGAATTAATTACCATTTACCATTAGCTTCTTCGCAACGGTCAATTCTTTTTTAAATTGGAATTTTAACTGCCTTTTAGGGTTAATTCGAGTAAGCTGGATTTCGTCGGAAACCTTGAAGGTGGCTTTTATTTTTATGGCTCGCATAAAGTACAATGCGGATCTTGCACGTAACACGAAATTGTGAATCCTAAACGGGGTCAAGACATTCTTGTCAGATATCTTTAATTGTCACGTTCATACGATTGAAAGGGTTGTGTGTTGTCTCTTGAACGCGAAAGACTTTACCTTTCATTTTGACCGTACGATTTATACCTCAGTCACGTTTATTTACAAGTTTTCCAAGCAATCGCGTATGAATATTTTGATTTTTGCACGATATGCAGTTATGAACATTGAGGAACGATATCGGTGCATTCGAGAAGTGACAACTTGTCGAATGGAGCTGACGCTTATCATGTTTAGATTACCTCGTAGTCGTAGACCAGGTTAATAATCTCGTTTTCTTTTTCTTGAAGCAACTTGCGGTCTGACAATGAGATAACCGTCGAGCCGGTGGAGCCGCGAAGGTAAAGCAGTTCTTTATTGAGTGCGTTGTAGCTGGCGCCATCTGCATGTTAGAGGCAGAACTTCTAACCAAAGAACCATGACCGAAATTACGCGGCAATTCGAACATCCGTACCCGTTTCTTTGATATTTTCTTTTTGACTTCCCAATCAGAATACCTTCTGGTTCTACACATTCACATTCTCAACTTTTTATAGTTTCATTGTGATCTTCAGTTTTTATTTTCTAAAACGGTTCGTTAAATTACTTCCAACTGATTTGGACAAAGTTATTCGATTTCGGTTACGGTTGCGATTCTTGCACGTCCTTGTTGACTAAATCACTTGTGTGTAGAATAATAATTCCAATGAATTAGCAGAGATGAGTTGGGACATTGCTCACGGGCAGGATCGTGCGATCGCATCCTGTGCTGCCCTCTGNAGAGTGCCGGAGAGTTGCCGGAGAGTGCCGGAGAGTTGCCAGAGAGTGCCAGAGAGTGCCGGAGAGTGCCGGAGAGTGCCGGAGAGTGCCGCAGAGTGCCGGAGAGTTGCCGGAGAGTGCCGGAGAGTGCTGGAGAGTTGCCACAGAGTGCCGGAGAGTGCCGATGAGTGCCGGAGAGTTGCCGGAGAGTGTCGGAGAGTTGCTATAGAGTGCCGCAGAGTGTTGGAGAGTGCCGGAGAGTGCCGGAGAGTGCCGGCGAGTTGCCGCAGAGTGCCGAAGAGTTGCCGCAGAGTGCCGGCGAGTGCCGGAGAGTGCCTGAGAGTGCCGGAGAGTTGCCGCAGAGTGCCGGAGAGAGCCGGAGAGTGCCGCAGAGTGCCGCAGAGTGCCGGAGAGTGCCGCAGAGTGCCGGAGAGTTGCTGGGGAGCGCCGAAGAGTGCCGGAGAGCACCGGAGAGTTGGCGCAGAGTGTCTGAGAGTGCCGCAGAGTGCCGGAGAGTGCCGCGCTTGGCTGGTTGGGACGCGCGAAGTTTCTAGGAGCGATCGCACTTACACAGATTCGATGCATGAGAGTTCCGTACGCGACACCGACGCGTGCCCCAAAGCTCCGCATCACGTCGACTTCGAGGCTACAATGTACTTAATAGCAGCAGATAAGTAGATAAAGTCAAATGGAGCGTCACGAGTGTTCTTCCCTTACCATACAAAGCGAGCAGTGTCGATAAGCGTAGGTAAGCCACCACCGTCAACTGCCGCATGGTATTACCATCACGAGTACGTGAGCCGTCAACGGCGACTGGTAGATGGTACCGCCATGGCGAGTGCGCGAGCTCCTATCAGAAATTCGTTTCGCCGCCCTTGGGGGCAAACAACGGTGAAAGCTAACGTACGAAACCAGAGGGCAGCACAGGATGCGATTGCACGATCCTGCCCGTGAGCAATCTCCCAACTCATCTCTGCAATTAGACGTCGAAACTCACAGTTATGTTGGTAGTTTACTCGAAACCTAACGCGACTTCGTCGAACCTCTCGTAGTTGCACCACTAGCTTACCTTTTGTCGGTAACACCACTCTCTACAGACTCTAATTTATCTTTCGAGCATCCTGGCGACCGAAATCGCGCGCTTTTCCTCTCGTCTCGTTTTTTTTTTTTATCTTCCTCTGAGTATTAGCACTGATCTACAGATACGTAGAGAACCTAACGAAATCCTGCTTTCTTGCTCTCCGTTACTGCCGTTTGCAATTGTATCTTTCAAGTATCAGAGATGCTCATCTCTGCAAGTATCTTCTCGGTAGTCGGTCGTTAAAACTAGATTAGTACCGTTTTAAGACGAGGAGTCGTGCGATCGTTGCGTAATGCTCGGCGCGCTCGTGTTCCTGTTATTGAAGAGACAAAAGGAGGAGGAGAAAGAGAAAAGATGCCCCGAGTGTCCGATGTAGCTCGTGACTCGGCGGAATTTCTGGAGTACTTGCAGCGGGGGTAAGAAGAAGACGAGAAAAAAAAAAAGGCCCGGAGAAAAGAGAGCCATTGGTCAGATTCGGCAGCTATCGAGTGTACTCGGCCTCGAGATGTAGAGACACACCTTTCACGAATTCCCCAGATTCATGTTTCGTAATTCGCGCCACCGAGGCGCCACTAGTCCCCCACTTCTCCGCGAAATCGGCGTCCTGCTCCTGCAAAGTGCCCGACGTACGAAAAAGGTAAAAAGAACCAGTCAAAATGACTCCATTGAGTTCGCGATTTGGACGCACTTTCAAAATTCGACCCGTGGCTCCTTTTCTAGAACGGAACATTCGGACACGTCCCGTGTAGAAAGGCCGTGCATTTTAATGATCGGTACATTTACACGATGACGATGCAATCAGCCGTACGAGAGTGCGCTTGGTCGAAAATTACGTACAAAATACGAATTTCAATGGTACTAATGCCCTGATAGGTTCTCTCTTTATTGAAATTCCCTCATCATTCGACAGTACGAGTTTCTTGATCTGCTAAAAACGTCAAAAAGTAAATTTCGGCTTACCCTTTACTCAAATCAGGTTTTATTCCATGACGGAAGGAATAATCGTAATTTTGTATGATTCCTTTTTTTTTTACCGATTTTGTGAGGAATTTTAATTCATTGAAGGTCGTCGGCATTTTTCCGATTTCGTGCATGGTCAAGTACCGGTACTGCGGACTTACGGAAAGACGCACGCTCCCGAGTCTCGGATCTCCGCGTGGAGGAAGAGAGAGACGAGATGATGGCACCGGGCGTCGGGGGGAAGGAGATGGAGAATACTTTCTCGAAGCTCGAGATAGGTGGAGAAGGTACACGCACGCACAATGATCGAGATGGCATCGCGGCTCGTTGCGCGAGAGAAAGATGACACGACACACCTGGCGCGCGAGGGGCGAGCCGGCGTGTACTCTACGTGGGGGACATGGCACATATAAACTGGCCGCTAACATAACCTCATCTTGGTCCTCGGCCGGCGCAGTTGGGCCGCGCCTTCAGGATCACGATGTCGTTGTCGCCATCCGGCAGTAGTGGCTTTCATTCCCTCGAAGACCTCTCGGTTTGGTAAGTTGTCCGGCGAAACCACCTCCCGAGGATCTGGGTCGAACCTAACCTAATCTGGCCTAACCTAACTCAACGATGTGATCTACAATCAGCGCGCGACAACCGAAGAACGTTTTCAAATGATACGTTTGCCTGCTGTCCGGTCACAACCTAACGTAACTACCTAACAATCGAACAACCTAACCTCCAAGGAATAAATACCGAAGCCGTCATGCCGCTTCTCTGCGATGCAAAGGAAAGAGACGCGAAGACTATATTTACCATCGAGGGCGTCCTAACCTGTAACTACTTAACAGCGTGTTTCGTGATGAGTGTGTTTGAGGGTCTGTTTTCCTTGCACGCAGGGATGACGGGAAGGATCGAAGAAGAAATGATAACGATAGGTAATCACCTCGAAGGCTAATTTCGAGGGAAGATGCACGCAACCTCGATAATTTCGAACCTTAGAGACGGACTAGAAGTAGCGTAAGAATTTCATGGATTACGCAGAGAGATAAGCTTTTTATGTTTTTTTGGTGGAATTCTTGAGTGAGCTTTGAGAACTACTCAAGTTTTTACACATTTTTCTCCCCGAGGAAATTGCAGTGTGGTGTTGACGTTCCTTATCAATTAGGCTAGGCGGTCACGATCGCCCTGATAACGTGGATCACTTGGCGACATTGGCATTGGTCGTAGTTTTGCGGATTTATCGAGTTGGCTCGGAAAATCGGGAAACAAAAACTAGAAACGTATTGCCGAAAATTGTATTCACGTTAATAGTAAAATAAGGTAAAGCAAAATATATCGATATCATTAGAAGTACTTTGGACAGCAGGTTAATTTAATCCGTATAGAAAATAAATGTGGCTGCAATTACTTGTGACCACAAAATGTAATTTTGAATCGGATTCGGTTAACCGTTTAATTAAACTATGAGTCGTCTTTCCTTCAAGGAAGCAGGCACGTCCGTTTAATTAATTGCTTATTCCTTTAGGGTTAATTATTAATGAATACCCCATTATTGCAGTAACTGCAGCGTCCAGAGATAGAAGGAACTAATTAACTTCCGGGATGCTTCTGATTTAATTATCTTTTTCACTCATCCAGTACAAAGTAATGAATTCCTTATACATTGTACCTTGGACATGAAATGATTGTTCCTATTTTCCACTTATTATTATAAATCCGTAAGGGGAACAGCTTGCATTTTATCGTATTCGTGCCCATGCGTCGCCTCGTGTAATCTAATCGAGCCTTGATATGTAATATATCGACTCTACCGTCGTATGACTTCTCTTCTGAGTAACCGATTCGTAAGAATTGTCCAGAAATTTTCCTTATCTCGAATGAAAGCCGTTATCTTCCCAGACGATAGTGAACGAAAAATTCTCAGACGTGGATTTTCCGGACACGTGGACACTTTAGGGAAAATAAATTACAGTTGTACTTGGCCGATTGCGGTCTCGAATAAATTGATTACGCGATCGGGAACAACAATGCGACTGTGCACACTCGGATTCGATGCAAGACAGCATTGAGCTTTTTTTCTTTGTTATGCGGGTTATCGCACGGGGCTCCCTCTTATCGGGTTGAGGCTTTTTCAACGATACGTTCCGAAGGAGCCGTGATCATCCAAACATGAGTTTTCAGTAGTAATGTTATGCGCGAGAGGCATCTTCTTCAGGACGTCGCTACGCGCGCGGGGCGTCACCATCAGCTCTTCTCTCAGGTATCCATTTTGCCGCCATATTGGAATCAGCGACAATAAAACGTAGAAATAATTGTATCAGCCATAAATCCAATATTAATAACAGTGAATATCACATCAGTGCTAACCTTTCACCGTATTAGCTCTAACAATTAAAATCCATGATAAATATCCTTTCTTCTTCTCTTGTCTTCCGAATGAACTTTCATCTTTCGTTTCGCTCGTTAAATGGCGATAAGGGGGGAAAAAGGCTTTTCTGAATGAGTATGCCAATACTATCGGAATCTGACATGAAATTAGCTTCACGCTCATTTAACTTCGTAATAACGATTTGAAACGGGAATTTATGGCGCAATTGGCAGTATTTACATTTCGCACCAGGGGAGCTCGTATTTATATTACGCCGGTTTCAGAGAACGTTTTAATAATTGCGCGTGAAAGTGCAACAGCAGTGCACCTTACTTGCGGAAGCAGGTATTTTTAGTGTTCATAATTTTGTATAGTTTTCCATATTTTATCAACCATTTTGAACGGGTTTTAATTCTTCGAGGTGTTGGGGACGACCGGTGGGGCTGTTTGTGGAATAACATTTCAATTTGGTTGTTAATTCGATTAAGTGGTCTTTTGGTTATTTAATGTGTTTAGTTTGAAAAAGTAAAATATGTCTACGTTGAAAAAAAAAAAAAAAGAAGTCTCATTGCACTGCCCGGGAATCGAACCCGGGTCGCAAGAATGGGAGTCTTGCATGATACCACTACACCAGCAGTGCTGCTTAGTGAAGGTTGCTTATTACTAAGTTATAACCTCTACCATACTAATATCAAACCCATTAACCATAGTGCATTGAACACGATAACGATATACGCAGCAAGAATTTGAACCCCTAAAAATGACAACCCCTCGAGTCTTTTAGTCAGTGATAAATTTATAAAGTATTATGTATAATTGATGTTTATATACACGAAAAATAATTTGGGGACGTGGTAAAGCAAAAAATTTCCGATTGCAATTTATGTTAAAATAGAAAATAGAAAAAATGCGAACTGCACTGCCCGGGAATCGAACCCGGGTCGCAAGAATGGGAGTCTTGCATGATACCATTACACCAGCAGTGCTATTCGAAGGGGTTGTTTGACTTTCCGAAATATCAGGTGCATTAGACAGATGACGAATATAATAACTGTATATTGTTATTTGTCAACAAACTGAATATTCTCAACCGCTGCGATTTAAAATCCGCTGTTCCTACTTACTACTTATGAATAAACATATTTATTAAATTTAATCGACGTAAGTGAATTTTGAAAGCTCAATCGTGGAACTATAAATATGAAAAAAAAAGTGGATGTCCATTTTTCATGGAAAAAAAAATCGTGTGCGATGGCCGGGAATCGAACCCGGATCAACTGCTTGGAAGGCAACTATGCTGACCATTACACCACCATCGCACGTGTGAGTCTTTCACGATAGAAAGGCATTTCCGAGAAAGTACGGCGGGAAAGTATCGATCTGCACTTGATAATTCGTATATCTTTACGTTTTCCAACTTCAATGAAAAGTATATCGAGAAGTAAGCAAGAGTAGCGAAGGGGAATAGTGTTAAATACATTAATTGAACAGCAATTTGGCCCCACGTCAAGTTGCAGTGAATAAATTACAATATTAATTATATCACGCCATGTTTGCATATTTCACCTCGACGGCTCTTCGCCGCCATCTTTCTTTTTTCCCTGCCCTATTAGGTTGCTGCAATGTCAGCCGGTCGGCGGCCATTATCGGTCAGCGATTATTAAATAACAAAATTGATTACAAAGCATCGTCGCATGTGCAGCCTTCGATGCACTGCGAGGTGATACGAGGCTCTTTTGTATCCCATTACTCGCCATATTTAGTCGTACCAATGCCAAATCGTTGCCGGATTTTCCTGCACCGACGTCCCCCACTGCTCGCCCGGTGGCCGTGATTTCTTTCCGCAGGTTTTCTGACCCTTTTTTTTTTCCGCTCTGGGCGGTTAACATATCCCGTCCCTGAAGACCCGGAGGTTATCTCGGCTCCTCGGCGGGAGAGTTCCATTATCCTCGGGCTTTTTATTCTCACGCCGAGGAAGGTCAGTTAACCTGCTGACTTCCTGCTGACTGTCGGCATCATTTACCATGCAGACTCCGCTGGATACATTTTCGCTCGCATCTTTTTTGCCCTCGTTTTATCGAGCCGACGCAGCGTGAAAGTATTTCATCTCCCAGGCTTCCCTTTCTCGTAGAAAGTACACAGGGTCGACCGGAACTCCCGGTCTACGAACTCATCCACTCAATATCCACGATATCCCGTAGTGCTGAAACTATATTACAGGTTTTTTATCCACCACCGAGGTCTCTCGTCGACTTTCAAAGCGGTATTTTCACCAGGGCTGATTCAATCTGGGGGAATCGAAAAATTCAAGATGGCGGACCCTGAGCCACTCGAAGAGTCCCATGGCCTTCGGATCTCGAGGTTTTTTTACTCGAGGCCTCGTGATTTCGGAATCCCACCGAAGACACGGCCCCCTTTGTAACGCCCTCTAGCTCGTCGCAATAAATTCCAACCGCTTTCATATACGGGTAATTACATTACACGCAACTGGTTTTCAGTTACGCATTACGGAGTGTCCCTATCTCGCGGCGGTTACGTAAAATGCACTGTGAGGTACGCTCTACGTAACCGTGTTTTCCGCCTAAAAATAGGTCGCGCTTGTCCCGTTAGCCCCGCGATCGGGGGCGAAGGAGGGTTTCGAGGTTAAGTCGGCCAGCTGCGACGCCGTGCTCTTACCGCTTTCACCAGGCGGAAGTCTCCGCGAAGTTCGTTTCCCGTCCGAGAACGAGTCGTAGAAGCCACTGATAAGTCCATTCGGTTCTCGCGGACCACTATCGCGAGGCTCGTATCCCCTCTAGGGATGCGCGATAACTCGGCGAGGCGTCCCACCTCGCGACTTTGGTGTCAAATTACGGCTTACGGGGGGCTTTCTTCGTTACTTAGAACCACAGGCAGACTATTTGGACATGAGGGAAAGGTTTACGACTCGATGCGTCGCCGTACGTGCCCACGTCCGTTCACAATTTACATAACAATCCCGACGGAGCCGGCCATGCGCGCCATGTTTCTCTCGGCAAGCGTGCCACCGAAATCGACACTTGTCGGTCGAGTACATAACCTCTCCCCACCGTCTACGTCCTCTTTAGAGCTCCGCTTCGGAAGGACGAAAGGGGAGATCTGGGGAAGAGCTGAGAGCATTCCTACTGGCGCTTATCGTAATGTCGCGATTACCGGCCTCGTGGGTGGGAGGGACGAGAGCCGTCGCGGGAATATCGCCCCGCTCGGTTGCAGTCGGTAAAATCATTCCGAGTGAGGCCGACGCGTTCGCTCGTTGAGCTCCACGCGAGGTCCACGCCGGGCGACGCAAGGCGCGACCGCCGCCATCTTGGTTTCTTCCCGTAAACACGCGACAACCCGGTGCCTCGGCATTTTCCTTCGATCAACGGAAGTCGAGTTCGGCGATCTCTGACCCCCAGGGTCGGATGAACAATGCCACTCGAATTCCGGCCCCGCTGGCGACGACAGCCGTAACAATGCGCCTCGACGGAATAATGGCACCCAGTGTAGAGTGACACCTCGGAAATGGAACACGCGGCCTAAAACTCGAGATAAGATAGATGCTTCACCTGTTTCGCTCTCGAATTATCGGTACATTCTAATGTCGGCACGTTAACGAAGGCTCCTTGCGAAATACCGCAATGACAATGTGACACACGCACAATGTGTGTGGGAGAGAAGTGGACGTCGCAGAGTGTATAACTCGTGGATGTAGTCGAAGTATGTGTATAAATTTTTTTTCCTGCGGGTGGATTGTAATCCTTGGAAACGAGAATGTGTTTGTGTATGGGCAGGGAAATTTTTAAACGAGAGTCCCTTGAGATTTGATATCGGCAAATTCAAACTTTATTATAACAACTTATTTGGACGTCTAGCGAAGGTATCAGTGATAGATGCGACGAGTCTCTAAGAACTCCGTTTATCGAATGCCCCAGTTCCTTGTCCCTTCGAGCTCTGGTCTTTCGTCGCCTCTCAAGGGCTAGGTAATCCTCGCCTTGGGTTGTTTACATCTTCTTAAGACCTGGATGGGGCGACGTGGTCCAGAGGAATAGGAATGCGCCTTCATATGGTAGTATATATGTGCAGGTCTTTTATGGAAAGGGGATTAGAAGTCCGTCATTAAAGTGCGCTTACGTCGGGTGACTTGGAGATGGGGATTTATGGGATGGCTTCGTGTGTGCGGATGGATGTAGGTAGATATAAATGAATGATTTATTGAAAGGGGAAAAAAAAAGAGAGAAAGCGAATATACGTGCGTGGCGAATCCGGAAGTGGGGACCCGGAAGTTTGCGAGCCGTGGTTGCTCTCCTGGTCGTCAGACAGTATGTCACCGCGTCACTTGACTCCTCTCGTGAAAGTAATTGGAGAATTGGTCGCAGTAATCAGAGAAGAGTGCCGGTCTGCAGCGTCATGGTCGGTTAGGGAGATATATGACGATATGTAAAATATGGAACGTGGTGTGGATGTCGTTGAGATTAAAAATGGCGCCGCGCTCGGTGATAAAGGGAATGATTCGTTATAGGTCACGCGTATTGCTTCAGGAGTGTTTTTAGTAGCTTTCAAACGAACGTACGAAGGGATTTACGGGGTTTAGGGGAAAGTGGAAAGTGCACTCGCGGCTGACCGTGTTTTACGCACTCGCGGGGCTCTATTTTCAGCAGTATGTCAGCTGGCAAGCTGACAATACCGACAGTGACTCTGGAATTGTCGTGTCGGTTACTGGACGGTGAAGTGTATACGTAGCTGGATCGGAGCCGCGTAAGAAAGGAATTAAAATGCGGTCAGCCACGGGTGCACTTTCCACTTCCGACCGACTCGGTTCTGCGACGCCACTTCTCAACCGATCTCTGTGCCCAATTTGGACAGGTTAACCGATGATTGAGAGTGTCCTTTGG